TGATACGAAACGTCGCGATACATGATCTCTTGGCAGTCTAAAGCGCAGTCGATTCGGTCTCGCTTGCGGCTTCAAACACATGAGCACACTGGGGAAGACAACGCTGAGTCAGCACAGACATGTGCAGAACGTTCGATCAGCTGAGTCCGGCGCCATGCATATCATGGCAGATCCTGCATATGTGGAAGCTGAGGAAGCATGCACACAGATCATTGTGAGGACTCTGCATGGAAGCTATGTTAAGTGAACTCTTTCGATTTGGAATCCCAGGGCTGGCTCACTGAGTGTAATCATACATGCCATTCCAGCCTTCACGGAAAGCGTTTAGAGTTACGCGCGCTTCTAGCTTTACCTACTGATCATTCCAGCAACTCAATGATTAATTGTCGCTCGGTCTAATCTGTCATACGACAACCTCCGACAAATTTGCCGAACGCTTTAGCTTCCTTAAATCATCGTCTATCGTGCTCAAACCTGCCAGCCAGCTACGCCAGGGATCTTGCTTGCTAAGCGTCGATTGGTTGCCAACCTGGAACAAACAATAAAGAAAGTCAAGTAAGCTTCGGCGCAGCCGCGCATAGCTTTGATCGGCGGCACAAAACCAGCACAGACAAAATCACTTCGCAAACGAGCAATCCCGTTCTCTTACGACCCCAAAAGCGAGGGCTCGTCGCTGTTTGCCAGGGCGTTGTGTGATTTTGCTGAGGACCTCAACCGTTACGCTCTGTAGAATAGACGGAAGTAGTCCAGGCCGTTTCATGAGACAATTACGCGCTTGTCCTTCGAGAAGGATGAGGGCGGAGGGCCTGGAAAACGATCTCATGAAAAAGGCACGTGCGGTAGTGAAAAAGTTCGTACGTGCCTGCATCGTCCTGTTGCATAATGCGTCCAGCATATTGCCCTTCTCGACCCTCTTCGTTTATCCAGTGAGCGAGGCTGTCGTCCGTCATTCCAAACTTGTCAGCATGAGACTTCTCACCACAATAAGGCCGCGCTTGGCTCGCGTCAGGGCCACGTTCATCCGCCGGGCGTCTGCGACGAACCCCAGCTGGCCGTCCGTATTGGATCGGACGGTGCACAACACGATGACCTGCCGGGCGGGCAACGCTCGGTGAACAAAGCCGTGATAGTCAGGGAACGGAACGGTTGGGGTCTCGAGAAAGGGGTCTGCCCGCATTGGAAATACAAAGAAAGCGACGATGTGAACCTCTGATGGCATTCTGAAGCAAGCCGAAGACGCACAGGAAACAAATCTCAGTCACCAGGATACGATATTAGTCCAGTCAAGCAAAAGCTTCGGGTTCTTGTGAGGCACGCATTAGGACAGGGAAGAAGCGGTCCCAGAACCAAATGTAAGAGCTTCTTTCTTCGCGAGGCGTGCAGCAAAGCGCCCGAACCCTGATCGTTGAGCGAGCTTTCGAGAATAGCGAGACTCTACCCACCTCCTTTTCGCGGCCCTGGAAACCGTCGACGGTCTTTACCTCTAACCCGTCAAACATTCGACGGGCGGCGCCGCTCGTGTTGGGCGGCGAGAAGAAAAGGTCTTGCAGCAATCGGACCTGCAGCCAAGACTCCCGTTCGATCTTAGTCTCGATCATCCAAAATGGACTTGAAAAATAATCGGCATTTTCGTAAATCTCTCTGTCGAGGCGTCTGTTTGTGTTATGATCTGGGCTGTCTTCTGAGTATCCAGCGAGTCAAAAATGTGATTTAATCTCTAGTGTTTAATACTAGATTTAAATACAGAGTCGAAGCCAAGATTCCAGCAGAGCGAAGACAGCCCCGAGAGGGTCAAAGTCGGAGTCGTCTGCTTTTGTCACGTACCTGTCCGCTGTACGGTGCAATCACTCCAATGGCCTCTGCGGACGGTAGGTCGCCCCCTTGAAGGAGCTCCGTTACCGTCTTGACTACCTGCATCGCAGGGCGGGCAGGTAAGTCTGGAATCGAGAATATGAAGGCTTGCGGAGCTTGGAATCGTTGTCAGATTTGTATCCTGTGTTGATCGGCTGGCCGCAACACATCACGAGAAGAAGAGAAGAAGACGGCAGCGGAAGCGGCAGAGAACGAGTAGGCAGAGCTGCTGTCAGCACGTCACCAGCAGAAACGCCCCTGCTTGGAGTTTTTTTGGATATGATCATCCATATTCCAGTGGAAGCGTTCATCCATCTTACAGGACAGGCAGGTAATGGTAAGGGAAGGCACAAGATGCAGGCAGCCCGAACGAAGCAGCTGATTAAGCAGCCAGAAAAGATTGAAGACTTCAAGCGTCCTAAGCAGGTTGGTGTACGTTCTCGAGCTGCAGGTTTGTTGCTTACCATGCTAGCTTCGGCTTGGTTCATGCGGGAGTTCTCCCCGCTGATCTCTTCCCTGCCGTCGCTGCAGTCAAGGAACGCGATCGGGCGGCTGGCGTCCGGCCACGCAAACCTGCGAAGAGGACGCGACAAATTTATGTGCGTTTCTCCGCGAAGCTGGCAATTTGCTTGAAAAGTCGAGAGTGGAAATTTCACAAAGTCGACAAAAGACGTGAACGCTAGCTGAAACTTCATAGCCAGTATCCGGACACCTCACAGTGCCGTCAAATCTGGGTGGAGGGCGGTCGTTAGCGCAAAGAGCAAAGGGATCAGGATTCTTCCTACTGGATGCAAGGTGAGTCATGCCATCCGCCTTACGAGGAAGCCACGCCTTTAACGCAGCGCAAAATCCGTAAGTGGAACGCAATTCGTGAGGAAAAAGTCACCTTTTCGGTGCCGGCCGGTCTTCGGGCGTCGGGAATGACGTCAGCCGGCCGTCGTAAAAGTGCTGCGACGGGAAAGCGGCCAGCGCGGGGTGCATCCGGTACTGCGTGTCCAGCAGGAAAGTTTTCACACCGCTCCTCTGGAGCTCCTCGAAGAGGCTCACCTCTAGGCCGGCCTGCGAGTGTGAACACGGGTCACAGAGGTGGGTCATGGAGACATGGTGCGTAAGCGATTGCTATAGGCGATGTGTATCGCTATAAGCGATACGCCGCAACAGCAGAAAGGACGGATGGTGCGTCATTTGACAGCCGGCGGGAATGAAGCACATTGAGCTCTCAGGCGAAAAACTTTCCGTTGAACACGCTTTGGATCTGTTGCAGAACAATCCGGAATAGTCTTGCCTCAGACCTGCGAAAACTCTCGCTTTACTTGCCAAAGCCCGTAGGACAGGCTCTGAAGCGAACGTTACAATCGCGCTCAAAAACGTGTCCAGAACTCAGGTAAGCTGAATCACTCTTGAAAGCACAGAACCTTTGTACTGGCAAAGAGATAGCGGAAGAACGCCAGCAACGAGTGGGAGAGATTAACGAGAAGTTCTGTAGCTTTGCGCAGCAAACGTGGGCAGATCAACGGTGCTGAATTTCGTGAAAAGGAGTTCGGAGTCGCTATTTCGGCGGCCTCGAGCGAGATGACTGTCGGGGGCAGCTGTTGAAACCGTAATATTAGTCAACGTCCTAACACGATCAGCGGGTTAACGGCTTGTGTTCCAGTCACAGAAACATGCATTCCGTACCTTGGCGGCCTCAAGCGAGCTGACCGTTGGGAGCAACAGTCGAAAAAGAGAAAAAGTATTCCGCAGATATGACATCAGCCAACGTCTCAACTTGAAAAGGCGGATTATGGGATCGTGTTTCAGTCCCAAGGATATAATTCCGTACCTTGGCGGCCTCGAGCGAGATGACCGTCGGGGGCAGCTGTTTCTGATCGCCCACCAGAACCACGTTGTCGGCACCGCCCACTAACGGTACCAAAGATGACGGCTGCGTCGCCTGCAGCAAATTTCAGGGTTAGCCTTTGGGGTTAACAACACGAAGAATTCAGCAAACTTCTTGAAGGTGTGCCCGGGCACCTACAAATACACCTCGTAGTCTCGTTTTCAGGTTGAGGTGCAGCCAGGTCGAGGTAGGTCAGTGCCCAGGGAACGGTTGGGCTTAGTTTGGGGTATGGGTGCGGAGCGCGTGAGTCTGTGTCTAGGGGTTCACTTTAGGTGCGCCCTCCCGGTTCCACAGTCTCTCAATCTGGCTCAACTTTAACGTGGAATCGAGACTTGCAATAAAGCTGCGGTGATCGGACTGGAGCCGTCCAAGTGACAAAGGAAGGGCCTGCAGCGGTTCGAGGGCTTAGCCGTTGGGAGGGACGGATCTTTTAATTCTCTCCTTCCGCTGTATCAACCTCTTGCCAACATTTCCGTGAGCCTCTCTAAAAAGTAAGAAAGATCGGAGTCGATTGATTTCGAAGTGGCTGGATGCCGTCACGCATGGCTTCCGCGTTTACCTTCGCGCATGGCGTAGTAAAGTTTTCTCCACCGGTCGAGTCAGCAATAGCTGCCTGTAAGTTAGTTCCACCTGGCGGTAACGACACCGTTGAGACTTGCATATCAAACGTCTGGTTACGATTCTGGTGTCTTTCCGTGTGGTTTCAACGGTTGAAGCAAAGAGCGTGTTTACAACCGTCCGAAAACGCACCTGCGTCGCCTCGTCTATGACGCACACCCGGAAGGTCCGGCCCTCCAGCACGGGATCCCCCGCCCCGATGCATGTCGCCACGATGACGTCAGCGTCGTCCAAAACCTGTAGAGAACGGAAATCATTGACGGAGGCGGACGTTACGCACTGCGCTATGGGCCGCCTGTTTTGCAACTGCCTTGAGGGAGCTGGACTCTCGTCCGCAGGTAAAAGCTTTGACTGTGAAATGGGAGAGGGCAGAGCAAAAGAGGCACTGCGACTTGTCTCGCAGAGTGCCCGTTGCTTTTGAGGATATGCCTCCAGTCATGACAATGGCCCTTTCGTCAGATTGCCCATCATAATTTCGAATAACACTCAGGGAGAAGCAACTGGTTGCATTGGACTATCGCTTGCGGCGCGAGAGCCTATTCATCAGATTCGTTTCCGCGTCAACTCTCTTTCCTTTTTCCGAAAGCTCTCAGGACCTTCCGACAGTCCGCTCGCCGAAGCGCTGACCTCTTTGATTGCAATCGTCGCCGCATCCTCCGACGCGCTTATGCTCCGTTGCAAGTCCTTCTTTCGCGTCAAAAGTGTAGATTCAACAAGCGGAAGTGCAACTACCCCGAAAACAACCCAATGTACTCGACGGAAATGGAGTGAAAAGGTCACCTCTTTGATCGCAATCGCCTCTGCGTCCTCCGATGCTCGCCACGCCTTCATCGCGGCGTCCCCCCTCTGCTGACGTTCCTTGGACCAGCTGCGGCTGCCACGTGCCTCCGCGCTGGCGGTCACTGATTGGCCGCGCAGAGAGGCGGCACGTGCCATCTGGGGATGGTCCGCAATCAAGGCCTCCAGAGTTGCGTGCCGCAGAGTAGCTTTCACCTGCAAAAGCGCACAACGGAGGATTTCGAGAAGAACCTGCGCATACCAAAATACCCAATCCGACTTCCTGGAAGCGCATTTCTGGACCCATTCTTCTTTGGAAACGTATGGAAGCGCTGATTATGAAGAGTTGTTCCTTTGCTTGCTTGCAGATTCTTTGGCTCCCACGATTGACAAGTCCTATAGCGGGAAGTCTGTGGTTGCTTGCAGTCTCGACGAGAGGGCCGGACTTCACCCGAGCCAACGACCCATCGATTCACAGTTTCCATAAAAGGGGGGTCGCAAGACACACCCTGATTGTTCCTGCGGCCTAGAGGCCCCGACCCCCTAGACCCTGGTCAAGAGCAGTGGTTGCTTGCAATCTAACGAGTTCACACTTGACAAAACGCTGTGCAACGGGTTCGAAAGCGCAGTCTCTCACCTTAACCGGCTGCCCTATCCGCACGACCTTCAACCCCAGCTCCAAGAGCCCTTCCAACAGGTTATCCACAGCGATGTTGCTGCAAGGGCGAGAGATTGTCAGAATCCCGTCGTGACATTTCAAAGCGATACAACGCCTTCGAAAGCGACCGCTTTGGCGGGAACTTATTCACGGTATTGATTGCGCTTTCACGAAGCTGTAGAAAGAGTGCTTAGTCTCAAGATTTGACAAGCAGTGCGCTCAAGATTCTGGAAAGTAGTGCGAGCAGAAGCGGTCATTTGCATCGACGCAGGCCTAAAAGTTTTTCCGTCAGCGAATGGCCACGTGCCTGTCCGCGCACGCCAGGATGGGCTTGTGCTCCCGCGCGAGCAGCCTGGTGGAGAGCAGCAAGAAGTGGAGCAGCGTTCGTGTCTTGCCCGTACCTGCAGAGGAATAGACAGAATTGTGTTGAGAAAACAAGTGGCTACGCTTGCGAACGTCAAAAGAGCGCGTACGCTCGCGCTTCTCTTGGGTGCGCGTACAGCTTCCACTTGTGAGGGTCACTGCGCCCTGGCATCTCACATTCTTGCAGAGAGGACTCCACGAAATGGAAGACTTCCAGCTTCTTGCTATTCGAGTCGATGAAGACGAAGCGGAGCAGAGCGCGGGGATTCCTAAATTCCGGGAAGGAAATCACACAGGCCGCGAAAGACTTCTTGTCCATTGATCTGCTGACAAGCGCGAAGAAAGCACAGCGCCAGTACAAAATTGTCTCCTCCTTCAGAAGGGATTCAATTCTATCATGCCTTCTCCCTCCGTTGATTGAAAGAAAGGGCAACCGAGTTCACGGCAAGCTTGGCAGAGCCTGGTTCGCGCCTCAACATTTCAAATACACGCCGCTGGAAGATGACGTCACCTGGGGGCCCCTGCCAAAGCGTCAGCCGCCGCGTCATCGCCGCCTCAATCGCCTTTGCCTGGCTCTTATTCACCCCCCCTCTTTCTTCGAGTTTCGCCAGCTGTTTCCTGACCCCCCCTTTCAAACTCCCCAGCTCTTTCCCGCTGGCCCAGGGGGGTGCCTTGGCCGCCATCTTTTCGGGGGTCTCTCCCGCGCTGTCTACGGCACCCCCCGTTTGCAAAACCTGCGCCTGGAGGGTTTTCACACCCTGCCAAAGCAGGGCGAAGCGCAGGGTGTGAAGGCCCTGGCCGTAGGCGGTGTTCGTGCTTTCTCTGCCGCCGTTCTTCTTGCCGTCTTTGCCCTTGACTTTCGGTGTCTTTTCGGCTTTCTTTTTCGTGACGCTGTTGTCGCCGTTGGCTTTCGAGTCCCGAGCAACTCGAGTGAGCGGTACTGCGAGAAGTCCAGGTGAACCGGGTTAGCAAGAACTCCTGTTACTTCGCTTTGATGAGAGCCAACCTTCCACGTCCAGAAGTCGACAAACTTACGTAAACAGAGGCGGAGAAGAGACCGTGATGACTCATTTCGCACTCGGGAGCTGTCAGATCATGTGGCCCCGTGTTGGCTGGCTAAAAAACTGAACAAAGGACTTTCCGTGCAACGGTACTAATGTCTATGCAGGACTCGTACAGATTTGCCAGAGCGACTTCCCCCGATCTGCCCAGGCACGTGCGCACACGCTCAGGGCAATCACCCACTGACTCTTCGTCGTGGTCAAGGAGCGGCTGAGAAGTTCCACGTATTTCGTTCCGTTGCTACAATCGAGGAGTAGCAACGCGCCAGAAGAAGGAGTAAGCCAGGCAGAAACGCACGACGACCGTCTTGTGATGCCCTCGACAAAAGCCACCTTGCTAAAAGGCAGGAGCATAGGCGCGTAACGAAAACGGAAAAAGCTGGTGTTGACGTCCCAACCTGGATCGCCCGAGCTAGACGCAAACGCCTCGAGCGCCGCAACGGCCCTCTCATACGCCACCTGGTTTGCGGACAGGTCGAGCCGGTACTGCTTCGTGAGGTCCAGCTCCGAGGCGGTACGTACCGGCAACACCAGGCGCAAGTACCTGTATGAATTTTGTGTGCAGAGGTTCTTTTGTGTTGTCGGGAGGTTGGCGTCAGACTAGCGCAACGGATAAACGCCAAAAGTGTGCCGTCACCTTTTCAACACAGCGACCTGACTGCACTCGAGAAGCAGACTTGCACCTTAGGTGCTTTTGTCGTTCTCCGTAGCGAAACTCATTTCTCTCCTCGACTCCTATTCAGAGTTGCCTTGCATTACATATCTTCCTTTCCTGCTGGCTCCATATCGGAGCTTTCCGAGCTCCGTTCCAGGCACGAAACCAAAAGCAAGAATTTTTAGATTGCCTCGGTTCTGCAGAAGCGTGGGTAAAGACTTGGCCAAAGACTTGCATCACAGGGTTGCAGAAACTTGCAAGTACGGTTCTTCTTACTTCGGCACACGTGGGGACCATTGGCAGACACGACAATATCCAAGACGGGAACCAGGGGGCTCTGTAATTGCGTAACGACTGACCTTCGTGCTCTTTCCAGCACGACGCCCTCGATGGCATCCCCATCTTCGAAAATGGAGGGGCCCCCGACGCTGATTCGCGCTATGTCCCCCTGCGCAGAAACGAGCGGACTTCAGCATAACCTTGGCTCAGCGCCCTGTGGCGATGTTCCTAACAACAAAAGAGGCTTCATTCATCACATACAACGAGTTCTATTCCTCGTTGAACAGGCCGGTGTCTGCCTTCACTGAGCAAATGTGACTTTGTTCCTGCTCTTGTGTCCTGCTTGGTGATCACTTTCAAATCTTGCAGGGTTTGCTTCAAGCGCAAAGTATAGTTCGGCCGTCATGAGAGGAATCAGAATTGGTAAAAGCGCTGCTTATCTGGGTCGTGAAGACTGCAGGAAGGGACTTGGAAGAAAAACGACATGATGAGACTGTAGATATTTCTCAGAGTCAAACCGTTTACACCTCTTTTCGACCCCTCCCCTAAAACTTGTGTCAACTAAGCTAGTGTGCTTCTCTCAGCAACTGAATCTCTAAACTCCATCATATATTTCTTCACGGGAACTAGGGGGTTTGTCGAGAGCAGCTGTATGCAAATGCCAAAGACTTTGGATGCATTTAGAAAGCGCGTCTGCATTCGCCCACCTGAGTAAACTGGTGCTGGGAAGGCAAGAGCCCGTCCCCTACAGGGTTGGCAAAGCGGAAGATCCGCTCCCTGAACAGGTAACCGTCGGGTTTGGCGACTAATCCGAAAAGGGCGTAACCCTGCTCAGCCAGCTGGGACGGGGTCCATTCCTTGATGCGCTTCTCAAAGGCTGCCATCTCTTCTTTCTGCAATCACAGGGGTTTCAACAAGCGTTTAGGCTGGAGGGATGCAGGTTGGTCCTGCAAATCGCGAGGCAGGTTTAGACGTGCAGGTTAGAGACGAAGAAGAGCCTAATTATTGGTTATGTAAAACTCTCCTCTCGGAGGGGCGAGTTACAGCTACCGGTCTCACGAATATGTCGACCTGCCGGATCAAGAAGAGTAAGAATTGCGCTCTCCTAATCTATACCAGCTTCAAGATGGGTTTGAGGTATGTATCAAGTAAGGCTTGAGTCCAAGCCGTAGATGCTTGGACATGTCTTCCCCGCAGAGCGATATGCGGGCTGGAATCCGAAAGACTGAAACAGTGCTAACTTGAAGGAGACGGAGCACCTAACTTGACTACTACCTGTCAGAAGTCAAAGTTCACGAGAGAATGAGGAAGTCAATCAGATCTGACCAAATTGATCGGATCCTCTTTCAACCAGAATCCATGGGGGCTTTTGCGTCGGCCAGGTGTCAGTGTGCCAAGGACGTTGCCCTCCAGGAGGGCTTCACTTTCCAGCAAAACGTCTCCCCATTAGATTCATTCATCACAGTTGAATCATCCATCTACTTTTGCCACTCCGCAACTCAGGGGCCGACACATGAAGCCTGTGTCGTAGGCTTCTATGTGCGCCCAGTGCAACATAAGCAAAGAACATCTCAAAAGCCATATCTGTTCAACAAACACACACCCAATTGGAGAGCTGGCAGCTTCTGATTGGACTCACCAGCTCGGCATCCAGTGCTGCTGTCATTCTGGCCTTGTATTCCTCCCTCGCACTGCTCTGCACTCCCCTCTTGGCTGCCCTCTGCCTAGTCCCTCTCACGCTGCCCCCCTTCGTCTCCTCCCCACTGTCGTCAGCTCCAAATGCATCAACAGAAGCAGACACAGTACCACTCCTTTTCTTCCGTGAGTCTCTGTCATATTGCTTAAAAAGTCCACTCGATAATTGCTCAGCTGCTTTTCCCCCTCGGTTGAAGACCTGTGAGCCTGCATTGCAGCGGCTTTGGAGCCGGCCAGTCCTGCAGGAGGTCCCGGGTGCGGTGCTGCGATGCAAGGGCCAGCATCGCCTAAGGCAGAATCCCAGTCTGGCTTCGATCTGCTCCCTTCTCTGCGCGTCATGTCCCTTGCTCATAAAGCAACCCTCCTCGTGGCCAGTACAGAAGAGCGCATTCGCTGATGCCATACCGCAGCGGGCGGCCGTCCTTTTCGGGACCGCTCGAAGATCCTAGTGCCAGAATGTGAGCATCTTTGGTCAGCAGCCAGCTTGACAACAGCTCTCCTATAATGTAAGACTAACCATTCTTGCCTGAAAGCTCAAGAGTTTTCCAAATGTGCCCAAGCCTGAGGCCAAGGACAGCATCCTCAGTCCGAGCGTTCAAGTTGAATTCAGAGGGCATTTTGCTTGCGGCCGCAATAGGAGCCTGGCATCTTGAACCGTCATACCGTTTTAGCAGGGGCAGTTCTCTTCAATGACAATATTAATGAGACCGAGGACGTTGACTCTCAAGTTAAAACTCGTCCAAGTCCTCCACATGCCGGTTCTGGCGACGGCGCTTGTGTGTCAGGTGTTTGCGGCGACCATTCTGGCTGTTGGGAGCGAAAATTGCTGGATATTCAAAGGAAATGCATGCTGCCGCCAATTGTCATTCTGCTTGCAAGTTGCAGAGTTCAACAGGGACCTGAACTTGAAGCCTGAAGGTCGCACATTTTTCTCCTTCTTTCCTTGTCTGGGCATGAGAAGGGCAATCGGACCTGATGTGGCTGTCCTAGAGGCAAGAAACAGCTGGTATGGGGGTGGAAAGTATCAGGAGGTGGTGACAGTGTTCGACTGGCTCTTCAATTTGCAACTTTGCTTGGGTATCCTTAACTGTTCCAACCAGATTTCCAGAATGGCTGACCAATCTGCAGGGCCCTCCATTAGAACCCCTGGGATATCCACCCCCTTCCCTCCTATGTCACCCCTCCCGTCGATGGATGTCTTAATGCACTCTCCAGGCCTTCTTTACAGCTCCCCAGGCCAGGACGGAAAGCCCTCCGACGATGGTGCGCCACCTGTCGAGAAAGCACTTTCAAGAGAGGTCACCTTGTCAAAGTTAGATCAAGCGGACAAACTCATCTCTGAGGTGCGGAAGGGCGCTGAGGATCTGATAGCCGCACTGCGAGAGACCGCCCGGATGACATCAACGCCAGCTGGCCCTCTCGTGAAAGAGCCACCTGGCAGTGGTCGGAAGAGGGCTTTAAGTTTGTTGGACGACGCGACAGCTGTCAAACGAGCCAGAATTGCAAGCGCGGAAGAAAATAAGCAGCCCGAACAGGCTGATGTCAGCACGGAGGATGATGCTGAGGTCACGCCCGTGTCGCTTGTCATCAGCAAAGTGGAGGCTGCATTGGCGGAGCTAGCGGGGCTTGGGAGGGAGCTCACAGAAGCGGGGGTTTCGTTTCTGCCCAGCACCGTGGGGGGCGCTAAAGCAGAGCCAGACGGGGAGTTTGCGGCACGGGAATGGGACGCTCTAGTTGCGGAGAGAAAGGCAAAGGATGAGTTGGACAATGTGCAAGCGGCGCTGCGGAAGGTGCACCTGCAATTGAGACAGCGGTTTGAGGATGACCGGGAGACCGTGTGGGAGATCGACAAAGTCATGAAGGGCCTGAGCGCCGCAGATCCGGACAGAGTCTCCGGGGTTTTGCAACTACTGAGGGAGAATGGGGTGCTCGAAGGTGAAGAGCCAGCTCGAGACAATTCGAAAATTGAGCAGCTAGAGCGGGTGCAAAAGGTGGCGGGGTGGATGGAGATGGAACTGGTCGGCGAGACTGGAAAGGTGCTTTGGCACAGTTCAGGGGGAGGGTCTGCGGTGGGGGGTTCAGATGAGGGAGAGGGGAAGGGGGGGGTATTTGAGGAGCGGCCGGCCTCTCTACGATGCCTGCTTCCAGGGGTGCTGCGTGCCACACTTGGGGTCTCAAAAGAGGGGCAGGCGACAACCGTCTCTGTGACAGAGGCTACGCAGGTGCTCGGAGCAGTCTGACTATTTCTGCCGGTGGACTTTGAAACCATGAAAAAGAGCTATATCTTCACCGCCAAGACTTTGAGTCGATGCAACAAGGTTGCTTGCATCACGTGTGTTTCCTATTGCAGTTTCTCAGAGTCTTTTAGACTTATAGCTCGTGTGGTGGAAGGCTGAGTTGCGGACCTAGACCGTGTCTATTTCAATGCTGAGACATAAGAGCCATCATGACTTTCTTGTAGGCAACTGCGCATCATACTCGGGCAGGTCACAACGTTTTTCAAGACGTGACGGTGAGTTTTCGCTGAGCCATTTCCAGTGAAATCACCCTTTTCTGATCTCTTCCCCTCGAGTGGATCAGGCAAGTTTGAAGGTCAGGTAGGGGTCAAAAGTGGACGAGTTTCACTTCACTTTCGACTTTTTAACTTCGTGAATTGCAAGCTCTTTCCAACTTGTGCCGATGGGTCTTCTCGAGAATCTTTGAGGGTACGAGAGTTTCTCGAGGTATCTATTAACACTCCATTTGTTGTTCCCGTCTCCCGACGAGATGAGACTTTAGAGCAAGAAACTGCACAACAACTGGGGTGTAGCAATCTGGCATGCCAATGCCTGCTCTTTTCAGCCTGCTGCATTCCGAAGCAAGTTGCAGGGCATGCGCAAACAGAAAGTTCAATCTTACGTACCATATCGGACTGATCCCTCCCCTCTGCTGCAGAACATTGCCACGAGTGCTCTCTTTCACTTCAAGTCCCAACGTCCAGAAACCGCCTTGGAACGATTCTTGGTGAGCAGCCGCCTGATCGCCTACGGAGGTCGCCTGGGGCTGTCACTTTTCGTCACATCTGTTCTGAAGGACATCTTGATCTGGTGGCGCTTGCAATTTCACTTCAGAGCGGTTCGGTTAGTGCAACCGCACTGAAGGCGCCAGGAAAAGCTCTGTTTGAGAACGTTTCTGGTGACGCCCGTTTGCAGAACTGGTCGGGATTCTGCCAATTGATGCGGGGCAATATTCACACCTAGACCACCTCGTTGAGATGTCGCGAAAAGGATCATAATCGTATCGTGGCTGACTCGTGTGCAGGTCTGGCTGGCCAGCTACAGGAGTCTCTTTACACAACGCTGCAAGTGAGTCTCAAGCGGCAGCTCGTGTTTAACTCGTCTCCTGCAAAACTTCTCAGCGGCCCGCTTCCCTGTGGCACTCGAGACACAATCGTCTCTTTCTAATCTGACGGGGAAAAGATGGAAAGAAGGACACAGGGTACTTGAACCGTTTCGTACTTGAAAAAGGGTGGCCGAACCTCAGTCGGTCGACGAACTCTGACCGGATCTTGAGTATTTTGGATCGTTGCCTGTCTATTTGACAACTAGTCTTTTTCAACGGCAGCTTCTCGTAACTCCAGGTTTCCTGAGAGGAAAACACGGCGAATCTTGACAAGTTCCTTCCGCTCGAATTGTGCATCCCATCAGACTTGACAATAAAGTATGGAAGAAGTGCCTTCAATTCTCCTGCGCCCGACCTGTGGGGTCGCCCTCTGGGACTTGATGAAGCCAGCGTGGGCACGTGCTAATCCGCTGATAACCCTTGTGAAAGTCCGTAAAACCGGGGGGTAAAGTTGAGGGCAATCTTTTGCGGACTCTTAACTCGGCCTTACTTTCACGTTTCCAGTGCTTGCGGTAAGGTGCTCGCGCACGACCCGCGCTGCAACATGCTCCTGCCTCCGGTGATGCGGCCGTTCAAGGCAATACTTGCGAGCAATGCCCGGGAGAGAGAGGCGCTCCACTCGTTTTGCCACCTCCAACGCTTTGCTTACGTTTGACCCTGCGCGCTTTGGGCCAGAGGGGACGGGTTTCAAGGTCCCATTTGAGGGTGAAGAATCCACGAAGACTTTCGATCTTGCCCCGTTGTACGGAGGCACGAGACCCGGCCGCCCCATCAGCCCGTTAGAGAGTTACATTGCCGTCTTTGGTCTCGTCCAGTGACTCGCTGTTTTTTGGAGTGCTTTTGTACCCGGCCTCTCAGAAGGAGGTCATTCTCAGCAGCTCAATCTGGATGTCCTACCATAGGCATGGTTCGGTGACTTTTTCAGGGTGGCTTCAACGTCAAAACCTGTGTTGCAAAGACATGCGGACTGGCCCTCTGATGCGGTCCTCCTGCGGACCTTCAAAAAGCTTGACTTTGCACAATCTGGTGGATGAACTTTTTGGTGGTCAAGTCAGCTGCCATCACTGAGGCCTTTCTGGGCGTGCGCGCATACATGTTTCGTACAACACAACGTGACGGTCTGGCCGGCAGTCACTGATAATACTATTACTAGATTTTAATGTCACAAAATCCATTCCCTCGACGAATCACAACGCCTCAAAGGAGCCGCATCGGTGCGCACCAACTAGGCGGCAATTTACCATCAGTGCGACACCACAAAGGAGGCACCAAAGACGCCCTAAGTAATGAAGTCACGCCCGAGTACACGAAGTTTTCATGTGACAATAGTGACCTTTCGACGACAAAATAAAAATAGTGTCCTTTTTGTTCCAATTAAATTGGTGACGGACTCATTAGCGGACAACATGATATGAAACTCAAAAGGCACGGGTATGGGTGGTGTCCACGGTATAAAAGCATGTGAGTACTGAAGAACGCCAGCGAACGGTTAGCATGTCACAACTAAAAGGCTCTGATCAATGCTACGTGGCAATGATGAACTCCAGACACTAGAAAGGCGAGAGGCCTATGACTCGAATCTTACCCTTACTCTAATTCAACATACTCTTCTCTGGGCCCTCAATTGGCCGCGCTGAGGTGCTCAAGCAGCACCTGCAGCTGGGCACTGCGGTCGCTGGCAATGCGGGTGCCGCGGCTGAGCGCACACTGAGCGCCCCCCAAATGTTCTATAGCGCAAGTAGTGAGTGCCCACGATGGCTGCCTGGACACTGCCCGCGCCGCAGCTAAGTCCCAAACCCCGCTCCGAACTTGTTCGCCAGGCCGCGCTCGTGATTCCACTCCCTCCTTGCTTGCGCGAGTCTTCTGTCAGTGCTGCAAAGCATTGAAAACATGTAGTCGGACAGGCAACCTTGACATGTGCCCAGACTACGGCACGACTAGGTACTAGGCACTGGGCGGTACTAAGACCTTGACCAGATGCCGCATACCTACGTCTGCACTTGATTCAGGTTGACTGCCTATCCAGAGAGCAACAAGAGCATGTACGTCAATTGAGGACTCTTGCTCGGAACGAAGACACAAAATCGAACCAAAGAACCCAAACCCAAGATTGACAGGGCTCGTACTCGTACGTACCCAATCTAACCCACGGACCAACACGGACCAACCCTACCTGTCCCCCGGGGCCCATAGGTGCAGGTGCCGCGTGAGTCTTGAGTCTTGAGTCTTGACACGAATCTGCTCATGGACACTGGTACTTTAATTTCTAGGTACCTATGGTACTCTGTGGCATGTACGGTACTGAGCTGGAGTGATCATGATCATTCACAATTAAACGGTCAATGTCGCGAATGATGTTCTAACCTTTTACTGGAAGAGTCAGGAATTAAATCAAGCTCTCAAGTAACCAGGTAAACTTGACCGTAACTTTTACCTGCTTCGCTCCCGTACCCACCCTAAACCCCTAGGCTAACCCCACCCGTTGGGGCAGCAAAATTGCTCAACAAATTGTCAAATCCGATCAGGTATCCGAAGTGCTATCTTGTACCGGTCACTTGTACGGACCTCGGATCCGGACTCCGGACTCGTCACCAGCGACAATTGCCGGAGCCGGGAATCCATCCACGACCGCCCGCAATGCCGTACTCAAGGATCCGTACAAGTGCACTGGTGGTGTGCAGTGTGCACTGTCACTGTAATACTGGCATCTGGCTGGTGCACACTGCCACTGCAGCTTCTCTTTGTGCATCAGGTGTGCATCATCATGGGCGGAATTCTGCGATGCGGTGACGTCTCCCGAGTCCCTAGTCCCATGTGCGCGCACTGCACAGCTGATACGTGATGTCATATTCACCCGTAGATTGTAGTACGTTTGATGTATACCGTAGTACCAATTTACCATATTGCTTTGCCATTCACTGCATTGTCGCCCGCCTTTTGCGACGTATCGTGATGTGCACGGCCTTCGGTGTCCAAGGCACTGATCCGCGTGATTTTCATTCAGCAATGTATAGATAAAATGCTGTACACGAGGTACAGAGGCGAACTTTGGTCGCAGATCGAAGTTTGGAAGGGCGTTTCTTGAAGAGATTTGTGCAACAAGCTCAAGGGTGCTTCGAACCGCGTCCTATCAGACACTTCAGAGCAGACTTAGAGCCGCTGGTGGTGAGAGTGCTCAATTCACAACATTTAATCCTCTTCACTTCAGCAGCTGCTGTTTTCTTCATCGTGGGAGCTCGATCCATAAACGATTGTCCATAACGCGCCAAGCGCCATTTAGGTGTTCATTGTCTCGCGGCAGCTCAAGCTGCTGGCCACTTGATCTGCTGAACCTGCTCCACGATAATTAGTATCAGAGCTACTCAGTACAATGGCGCGTCAAGGACGTGACGTCGCACTCCTCGTGCTCCTTTTGATGGGCTGCCATGCAGTCCTTGAGGTAAGTGTCTAAGTGCCTACATTCAAAACTTCCAGCTTGTCCTTACAGGCTTATAAACAGAGCCCAGTGCACAAAACATTCTCTTGAGACCTCATGCCCATGTTGTAATTCAAAATTTGATGCTGAGCGACCAAATGAAGCACCACGTGAGTAAAACGCCGGATCCTGCATGCTTGCGAAAAAGCGAGAACAACATGGGCGGCATGAAGTTGTGCTTTTCTTGTGACGTGCATCTTAGTTTTCAAAGCCGTCAACAAGTCCAATTTGACAGGGGGTAAACGCCACACAATGCAAGGCTTGCAGCAGACTGCAGTATTGTCCTCAATTGCTTACTAGAGGGCTGATCAGAGCCTCAATATTATCTCAAAGTGTTCGGTTTCCAGGTTAAACAAACACTTTCATCTTGATGTGGGTATGCCAGGTGGCGGCCCAAGGTGTTCAGCTGAGCACGGAACAGGTCACGGTGAGCCGATCGCGCCAACTCTGTTGCCAGTACCCTTATAAGGTTCCGGTTCAAGGTGTCTGGACTTAGAGTCTTTCTTTTGCTCTAGTATTGTCGACTCTTTTGCATCACTGTTGCTTTCTGCACTGAGGAACAACTTGCTTTCCTGCATGTGCGTATTAGAAAGCATGGCTGTACCTTACACTAGGTCATTCAAGCTTCTTGCAGCATTACTGGTAGTGATCAAAGGCAGCTGATAACAGTCTTGCAGGTGAATCCTCTGCAAACTTTTCTTGCTTCGCATGTCGTCAGGTCCTCCCACTCTTCAATTCAGCTGGCTTCATCCCGCATCTAGTTGAAAGCATTGAACCAACAACAAACAAGAAGAGAAGACCTTGCGTCAGCCTGAATTGTCGTCCGGGGTAACCAGAACAAGAGCTCCAGTTGACCTTGACTTTTACGCTGTGCATCCTGTTGGCAGGTCAATGTAAGGCGGGGTCAAATCCCGGGCCCTCGTCACGGCTCAACCTCCAATATCTACCAGAATTATACGATTGGGAACTCGTTCCACTACAACCAGGACTTCTACTTTTCGATTCCGGCCGGCACGCCCGACGAGAAAGCCAAGGCTGGTGAGTGATGACTTGCGCCAGCACATCGAGAGAAGCTCAAGAATTTCCTCTCTCTATCTCAAAGGATTTCGTTAACAATTCCCCCCATTTCGACTCTGCTGGGACTTTAGATGATGCACCAAGAAATCGTTAACGAGAAGAGATGGCAGTAAGAGAGAAGAAGAACTGGGACACAAGAAGGAAAGAGGACGTGAGTACGAGTAATGGGGAGGGTAGCGGAGCATTATGTGTAATGCTGACACATGTTTGGGGGGTCATTGAACATGTCGAGCAGGCTGTTCCTGAATGAGGATGCCGTTCCAAGATCCACTTCAGGAATTCCAATCATCATATGCAGAAGGATGAAGATCCGTAGGCTTTCAGAGTGGCTTTGTGGCTTCCAATCAAGTGTTCAATCTTTTAAATTTAAGCAAAGTGCGAGACTTGCACGTGGACGCAATCGCAGTTCGCATCGCTACTTCAAAGGTTGTTTTGCCACCAGCCTATCCATGCTACAAGTCATGAGCTTCCAATACTTGCGAGGGCCCTGCCGGCGCCACCAGATTTTGCGAGCATAAGTGACTCATGCGGGCGCTGAAGTTCGACCAGCTTAGGAACAGGCATACCTCCTGCGCGCAGGTTACTCCCAGGGATTCTGCTACGTCACAGCAACGGACCAAATCACAGTTCCCCCGCCGCCCGTTCTGGACTGCGTCGTATCGTTCTACTTCGTCAAGGATTCGATGGGTGGCTACAGCGATGCCCTCTTTACTAGGGTCAGTCTTAATCCAGGTCGTTACCCCGGTGCTTGACTTACACAGACCCGGACTCCTTGAACAATTTTGATCACGTAATGTTAAAGGCGCCCTTGAGATTGGAAAAACGGTACCCACTATTGAAAACAGCACTCTCGATGCAGAATCATTCTCCATGAACCGATCTCTTCTCCCAGCACGCTGCCAAGAAGTTTTCGGATCGCTTCCAGTTTGCGGTTTCAGCCATTCCAGGGCAATTTGAGGCGGAGAAAGGAGGAAATGTGCAAGGGGGGAGAAAGGGGGAAAAGTGTGACGGGAATTTTTCCCGACATTCTTGCAAGCTTCCTGACTCCCTCCTGTTCGACTTGCATCAAGAAACGAGTCCTACTTTCATGCCGAATCTCAAAACTTGGTGCCGTGTTGGTCTCTGTTGAGAAGCTCGTTCTCGTTCTTCCACCGTCAGGGCTCCTTTGCACCCTTTACCACCAACGCCGACCCATACGGTATCGTCGGGGGCACTGGCAAGTACGCAACCGCGTCGGGTTACTTCATGGAGTCTGCCGAGCCCACCTCCGTGGGCAGCGAATTGTACGATGGCTTCTTTTTTACAGTCTACGTCCTCACCCCGGGTGTGCCTGCTTCTACCGGTGGGCTTTCTCCGGTGGGATCCCCCGGGTGCAACCCTTCAGGAGACTCCCCGAACGCGGTGAGTGGGCGGACAGGAGAACAGGACGTTTTGGCCCGGAGCCATGGATGGTATGCGCTGCTTGTGGGCTGCTTGGAAAGTGGTTACGAGTCCAATATCTAGAATTGGGCGGTTGCCAGCTTTGGAACAGGGTTAAAGCCCGTCTGTTGACTAGTGATTAGGGACCCAAGGTTGATAATCAGCCTGGCTAGCAGCCAAAACTTTGTTTGCGGCGCCAACGGTGCCCAATGGTTCCGAACGGATCGAGCGAATTATGATCGGAGCCGCTTGAGGATCTTCCGACCTTCGCCCAGCTCCATCCTTTGCAGATTGTTTCCGGACTCACACGTTGGATTTGTTCCCATTCAACTTGTTCCGTTATTCCGTTCACGAGCCCGCTCCAGTTTGCTCGCCTCGTTCCACTTCGACTGAATTGCATTCGCAATGCGTTGGGGCCCGACACCTCACGAGATCTCTGGCTTTGCTCGAGTCTATGTCATCGAATAAAAAATGGAATTAGTGAACGCGAGGGACAATCGGCCACAGACCTGATTGTGCGTCGAAGCCTTATCAATCGCCTTCCGCTCTTCCGTGCAGTGCTACTCTTCCGACGGATCCGTGTTCCGCTGCTGCCCCGGCGCGTGCGGCTCGAACAGCCCCCCGACTTGCGCCTAGAAGCGTCCGCCTCAGGAACAGCCGCCGTGATAATGCTCACGTACGATGACGTCAACCTGTGATTGGGCTGACCTGATCTATCCTCGATGATTGAACAGATCGGTAGCATTCTGTGAAGTCCATGTGTGAATAAGACGGAGCAAACATTCGGAGCGAGCGAACCTGTATGGGTAATTGGTCTTCGACTGGGTAATTTGTTTGTGAATTCAAGTTATCGAACTTGGATGGATGGGGTTATTTATAACTGGGTGACGAGTGAGCATGGCATGTGGGAGCAGGCAATTGTCGGGTTTGGGTATAATTGTGTAGTCAGCTTCAAAATTTTAGAACTCGAGCTTGAGTCACTACCGCAGAAAACCATGTACGAGTGCATGAGATCACGCTGCTGACCTTGATATAGTTGCTGGTACAGTCAAGGAACACCATTTCATGGATTGTTGTCTAGCGAGCTGCATTTGTGCACATACTCTCAAATCATAGGAAAATCGGGCTGCGCTTTTCAGTCGATTGCTGGAATGATCTGGGGGTGACGCAAGGTCCGTGCAGCTGGAGTGGACCAAGTTCGTGCAAGCGAGCGGATGGCCGGCCGCGGCGGCCATTCCCTCAAGGGATAACTCTAGCTCCCTTCATATAAGTAAGGCCCGACCCGGTGCGATCGCGATCTGCTCTTGGTATCAAAAGCTAAACCCATGCCAACTTTCGTGCAGCATGCACCATGGAGTGACAGGTAGAACGACTTAAGTGGGTTAGACACCGGAAAGCTAGACATGCATGGCCATTCAGTTTCTGGATCTAACTATATTAAGGAGGACGCCTAGCCTGAGTCTTTCAAATGAGTCTTCCAGATCAGACTGAATTTGCAACTCCTGGTTCTTGCAATGGGGCCAATTTTTTCTGCGCGCAGCTACAGTTCTTACAAGGACTATATTGTGCAATCTAGGCTCTACTTATCACTTTACTACGCAAGCCTAAGTTCCCACAAACCAGACTTCCTACACAACATATTACCCCGAAAGCGGGCAGGAATTCTGTAAAGATTGGTCACAGTTGCTGTTACGTTGAAATGCAGTTATCGTATCAACTCTAGACTACAATATTTGACGAGCAGCTTTCACTTTGTCAATTGATCTATTCCTATTACTAGATTCCTCTTTCAAATTTAAACCCCCCCAGAGTTGGAGGCTCGTATGAAGGCTAAGTTGCATAAATATAACTTCTCTGAACGACCAGGCCAGTCCTACAACACGTCCATACGCAGATTCAATTAGAGCCGCCCTTTTCACTCAAAGATCCATATCCTCCAACAGCAGCCCTCTGCAACTTGCAACAAATGCATATCTACGCCCCCGACTCAGTATCTCAGTTCTAAAAGTCAGTATGCGCGCGCGCTCTAGCTTACACCCCGTCGTTAACCTTAACAATGTTTGCAACTCGTCTATTTTTCACCTTCCCGTCGCTCCGTTTGTACAGCTCCCTACAATGTTCTCTCCGTGACTTCCATCTCTTCAATCAGTGTCTATAACCCCTCTCTCCCTCAACACCCCCCCGTTTTCTACACCACTGCTCCCAACCAGTCTAGTTTAGTCGGTAGCTTCGCTACAAACCGTCGAGCTTCTCGGCCTAACCTGGGCCCCCACCTCCCTTCACCCCACCCAGGTCCTCTTCGCCGCCTCAAGCCCGAGAGAGATCTGGAGGAGCGCCCTCATGAGCGCGTTGGCGGAGGGCCGCCGCTCGGGGAGGGGGTTTCAGCAGGCCTCCACCAGGTCCACCAGGTCCCCCCCGAAACGGGATATCTCGTCGGGCCAGTCGAGGCGGCCGCCCATGGCGTAGTAGCTGATACATTCCTGGAGGGAGATGAAAACACATTCAGGAGGCTGCATTTATTTACTTAGAAACTGTCCCAGCTTTTGCGGAATTTCACTAGCAGCACGTATCAGGTCAAGAAGCAGCGAGGGCAACTGATGGTCGAGCACTTTCGACGTCTGCCATGTACGATCTCTGCGGAGGAATCAGCAAGACTCAGAACGTCCGTTTAATCAAAGCCAGAACCAGCTTCGCTTGCAGTCCGAACCAGACCCCGAGATTGCTCAATCTAACCATTCGAAGGCAAATTGGATCAACACTAAAACGTTTGCATCAGAAGACTGCTTGCAAAGAGACACCGTGCACGCACCTGTTTGTTCGTGAAGTAATCGGAGGGGCGATCCCCGGTGATGAGGGCCCAAATGGTGACCCCCATCGCAAAGACGTCGGACGCCTTGCTGTGCTGGTCGTCCACGTAAACCTCGGGGGCGATGTAACCCGGGGTGCCGCACTGGAGAAACGGGTTATAGGCAGGGTTAGTCAAAGCTTTGACGCACCGGTTTCAAGGGATTAGCGCAGGAGTTGACAGAGGAGCTCTTCTGACGTCAGCAGACATTCAGGAACCTTTGCCGGTATGGCTGGTGGATTGATTTGGCAAAGCAAACAGCGGTAGGCTAACCCCTTGATGTAGAGAAACCGACACCGAGCAAGCATGGTTAAGAGCCAGACACTCTCAAGTGTGATACAAGCAAGTGCGATCACAAACGGAGAGCATGCGAGGGGTCGTTTCTTACCGCCCCCATCTCATCGGCCCTGTCGGCGCGGACTGCGAAACCCAGGTCGGCCAGCTTGGCCACTTCCCCACAGACCAGAAAGTTCTCGGGCTTGACGTCACTGCAGAGATGGGGCAAGCGTCAGGCTTTTGAAAATAAACGTCCTGAAATCGTCATGGAGAATCAGTGGACGTCTTGTCGAAACTAATGGATACAACACAATGCGACTGCGCTTAGAGAAAGCTGGAATCGTGCGTGAGACAGAGAAACGAGGCAGTGCAGAAGACGTTGACTCCGCATCTCCTAACTTCATGCAACATTCCGAGCGCGGGTCTCGAAATCTTATTCACCCCGTTCTGGTTTGCACCACTTCTTTCTAAGTCACAATCACAGCCATTGAGAAAGAGAACGGAGGTTTTCTTACGTATGCAACATGTCCCGGCTGTGCATGGCCGCCAGTCCCGCCGCCCCCTGGTAGGCGTACTTGGCCACCCGCAGCAGCTCCGGGGGGGTGTGCTGCACGGGAGCCCCGCGCTTCGCCCACGAGGGGGGCGCTTCTGCCAGCTCCAAGACCAGGCCCAGCTCCCCGTCGTCGAATATGTGGTAGCGGAGGGCCTGGAGGACGTTGGCGCAACCGCGGCAAGCGACCAAGCTGCTCAGCTGCGGAGGAGGGAAAGACAGAGACACTCGGTCAGCTGTCTTCACCAGATTACCAATGGTATGTTGGATTCTTCTACTGGCACGGAAGGGGCCTGATTGACATGCTATGACGAGATCCTGGCATGCGCACTGGAAAGCTGGAAGCTCCTTGGGATTTGGCGGCATCTCTAACACGCTTCTAAGGAAAAGAAGTCAACATCCAAGGAGATGCAGTGCGGGACGCTTGCAAAAAGGTTGCCTCACCTCTCGGAGCTGCTCCTCCCTGGTGTCCGTGGAGGGGTTCGGCCTGGCTCGCTTGACGGCAGCCGGGAAGTAGTTGCCGGCCGCGTTGAAGCACGCCGCATGATAGACGTCCCCTTGGCCACCCTGCAAACATGCGCACAGAAGCAATCTAAGAACTTGCTCTGACATAAACTTACCAATACGCTGTCACAACGAAGAGGGCCGAGCATCTTGGGGAAAGAAGTGGAGGACTTTTGAATTGAGCGAAACAAGGACGAAGGTTGCGCAAAATAACAGCATGAGAACACTTTCTCGAACCAGTTTGACGTTCTGCATAAGGAGCAGCTCCTTACAGAAAAGCTCACTGAAACATTGCAGAGACATATGAGGCATTCTGAACAAACCTCTCTTGTTCCCATCCTTCCGACATGGATTAGATTCAAAATTACCGGTATGCAACGCTTACCCGCCCCAGCAGGCACAACAGTACAACGTTCTCAAACAAGGGGACCGAGTCCGCGTCCTCGCCAGGGCCGGCTGCCGTGAGCGCGGCAGGCGCGACGGCGCTCGATGTGGAAGGCTCCCCCTGTAAATAGCACGACAAGGGTGAGATTCACCTTACGTTCTTGCAAGGCCTGGCTTTAAGGATCTTCGTTCAGTTAACAGCCGCTACAGCCGGTGTATTCAGGGAAATGGAACAATATTTTTGCTGAACTTTGGTCAGGCATCGTTTGTAACAAGTGAAACAAGGCTTGCGCAAATGAACATGCCTGCAAGAGCAGGGGAACGAAGAAGCAAGCAAGCGCAGCAAATGTACCTGCGTCCAGTCCCTCAGCAGCGCCGTCCGCCACATGGCGTCCTCCTCCCCCTCCAAGATAATGATGGACGGCCCTCTGCTCTCACTGACCGCTGCATGAGAGAGCTGATGGCTGCGTCCTGCTCGGCCTCCCTCTCTGCCAACTCTACTATGGGGGGAAGTGCGCTAGCCTCAGTCCAGGACAGGTCATCTAGGCGATCCTGGGGAACTAGCGCGGGCGGGAGCGAGTAGCGGAGGGGGACGATAGCGGGCGGGAGCTGACTATGAGGGGGGGCGCGGCTGGCGTCAAAAGCAGGGTCCGAGAAAATGTCGCTAAACCCTGCTGGGATCTGATCCACCGCAAAGGCATCCCCACTGAAGAGTCGCTCGTCCGGGAGGGACACCTCAAGGGGCGCCTCATCTGCCCTGCCGCTGTCCCTCTGACCGTCATTGTGGGTGTGCTCGGGGGCGCGTGGGGCCAGAGGGACAGCTGAGGGGGAGGCTGCCGCCTCTGCGAGGGTTGGCAAGGATGCCGCCTGCAAGAAGGATGGGGTGAAAATGTGAGAAATATGAAGGAATCTGCTGACATCTAACTGTGTGACTTTGTTCCAAGGTTAAGGCTCTCATTCAGAGAGGTTACAGCTGAAATGGGGCAGACTTGCTAATACCAAGTCGTTGACGGTGGGCTACATGGACACTGGAATTCCAGGTTACTTCAGGTTTTGTTCAAGCCGCTTCAGGATACAGATCGGCAAATAAGCAATTGTTTGATCCTGGTGAGAACGCGGCATTGTCCAACTTTCACCACCGACCAAGAAAAGACTGGATTCAGTGCACGAAATGGAGTAAGAAATTATCAGAAACTTCAAGCTGGTCAATCTACAAGTTTTCAGTGCAGCTCTGTGTCCGAAGCTGAACAAAAGCTATTTGACGCCGAGCAGAGTCATTTTCACAAACTGTCAAACAAAAAGAAGTTGGCAACTGACAAGGTCTTCTCCTGGAGAAATCCAGAAAATTTTTGGCACGTGGGGCGTTGAGCAATTCCAGATCCCAAATGTAGGAATCTTGCAACATTCACAACTCACCCGCTGGTCGGCATCCTCCTCAATAGATACGCTGCCGCTCTCCTCCTCGGCCCGCCCCATCTCCTCCTCCCTCTCCTCTCCCTCCTCCAGAAACTCCTCCACTCCCTCCTCTCCCCCAACAAAGACAGTCCCCTCCTCCCCATCCTCCTCCTCCCCCTCCCTTCTCCTCTCCCTCCCCTCCCTCCCCCAAGAACTCCACCACTCCCTCCTCCCCAGAGAATGCCTCAAACCCCTCCTCCTCCCCAAGGAGACCACCCAGCGCTCCCATCAGCGCCCCTCTCCCTACCTCAAACAGCAGCTCATCAAGTGTGAGCTTCTCCCAGCTGCTGCAGAGGGGGTCCAGCGCTCCAGAGACAGCGCCCTGCGCGACGTCAAATGCTGTGAGGCACATCGCCTCCAGGAACCCGAGCACGCCCGCCATGGCTGCTAGCCACGAGCTGGCGAACGCTGAATGCAGTGAGCAAGGGCGCGCAATAATCGCTATATCGCTGATCGCAAAAGGGCGCAAAAAGCGCCAAGAGCTGGTATCCTCTGCAATTGCTTGCAAGAGAATGAAAGAATCTGTTCAAATGCGAGGGCTATCAGCAACCGTGGCCAAGCCGACTCAGCGAGGCAATGAATGCCCTACAATTTGCAAACCCTGGGCGACGGGCGCGGCGGCGACCGGGCCCCAAGCGGGCCGACGAGCTATGATTGGTTACGACGTTTTGATTACCCGAAGGTTCCTAAGAAGAGTTTAACCAGCTTCTCAAACCCGCACGAAATGCCGGTCCCGCGTCGCCAAGAGTCCGTGGCGAATCGCGGCCGGGCTGCGCTGGAAAAATGCCGCGGCGCGGGCCTCGTATCATTCTACTGAATCTACACGAAGCCAGAAAACATCCGAACAGAAGCTAGCTAGAAGGCATAGACCATCTACAAATGATATCTGAATCAGCGATAATTCGCCTCATGCGCATGTGAATCGCTTTGTGCCTGGTAGCTGAAATGGGGGTGCCTATAAATTAGTATGACGGATCGATCGCGAGCGCCTACAATCTCAGTTCGTAAATAAGATGTTCGTTAATTCGTCGGACAGTTGAGATACCGCTGTAGCTCTCAAACTTTAGCTAAAAGTTGTTGAGCGCAAGCCCCGTAAATGATTAGCAGTCCTATATGCTAGCTAGCTCTTAATTTAATCTCCAGTTTTCTTTGCGAAGAATGCTCTGAGTCCAATTCCTATACAGTAATCAGTTGCAACTTACTCAACACAGGCGGCAGTCGACCTACTCAAGAATAAAGAATGTTTGCTGTTAAGTTAGCAGTATATCTCTATCAAGCTACGTTAAGGATTCGACAAGGCAATCTTGCATGACCCGTCAACTGCACCTGTTTGTGTTTGTTCCTATGTTGTCGTGATTTCCTGTCTCCTAAAAGCTCTTCGAGCAGATTGTATAAATGGTTTTCTGTACCGACAAACTGCGCAAGTACATATTCTATCGGTTGGGGCCGCTCTCTGCAGTTGAAGATCCGGTGTCGCGCACCTCACAACAATCCCCTCAACAGACGGCAGCCAACTGCCGATTTCGCAACACAACCCTTACTACGCCCCCTGAACATGATTCCAGTTTCGAAACACAGTCTATGCGCGCGCGCTTACCTCCTATTGTTTATCTACAAGACTCAAGTTACCTTCCCAACCCGTTTTAAATCGTTCCGAATCTCCGTCTGTTACACTTTCTAACCCGACCCTCCCTCAAAGCTCCCCACTTTTCTACACCACTTGTGCCCCGCCAGATTATCTAGTTAGTAGCTTGACTACTAACCGCCGCAAGTCCTGATCTAACCTGCCCCGTCACCCCCCTCTACCCCACCCAAACCTTCTTCGCCCCCTCCAGCTCTAGAGAGATTTGCAGCAGCGCCCTCATGAGCGCGTGGGCGGAGGGCCGCCGCTCGGGGAGGGAGTCCCAGCAGGCCTCCACCAGGTCTACCAGGTTCCCCCCGAAAGAGTACACCTCGTCGGGCCAGTCGAGGCGGCCGCCCGCGACATACCAGTCGATGCACTCCTGAAGGGAGAGAAACACACGTTGAGGAGGCTGCATTTTCATAAAAAACTGTCCTAGCATTGCGGAACGTTTTAAGCAGCACGTATCAGGTGAACGCGCAGCGAGGGTGATATCCTAATGATTGTTGGTCGAGCACTTTCGACGTCTGCCATGTGCGATCCATGCGAAGACATCAGCAAGGTTTGGAGTGTCCGGCTAGTCAAAGCCAGAACCAGCTTCACTTGCAGTCCGACCCAGCCCTCGATTTCGCTCGAGTTCATCATACGAAGGCAAACCGTTTCAACAAGAAAAAGTTTGCATCAGAAGATTGGTTGCGAGGAGCCGCCATGCACGTACCTGTCTGCTCCTGAAGTAATCGGAGGGGCGGTCTCCGGTGATGAGGGCCCAAACGGTCACCCCCATCGCAAAGACGTCGGACGCCTTGCTGTGCTGGTCGTCCACGTACACCTCGGGCGCGATGTAACCCGGGGTGCCGCACTGGAGAACACGGGTTAACAGCAGGGTTAGTTAAGGATTTGACGCACCGGTTTCGGGGGGTTAGCACTGTGAGAAACGGGTTAACAGCAGGGTTCGTCAAGGCTCTGACGCACCGGTTTCAAAGAGTTAGCGCAGAAGTTGGCGGAAGAGCTCTCTCACGCAGACAAGCAGAAATCTTTGCCGGAATGGCTGGTTCATTGACCCGCGAAACAAACAATTGCAGGCTCCTAACCCCTTGAGGTAGAGAAACCGACACCGAAGAAGCATGGATAAGAACCAGACAGTGATTTGTGGAATACAAGCAACTGCGATTACAAACCAAGGAAATGCGAGGGGGCGTTTCTTACCGCCCCCATCTCAGCGGCCCTGTCGACACGGACTGCGAAGCCGAGGTCGGCCAGCTTGGCCACTTCCCCGGAAACGAGGAAGTTCTCGGGCTTCACGTCGCTGCAAAGAGGGGGCAAAGTGTCAGGCTCTTTACATAAGATGATTTAGTGTTGCGCAAAGAAGAAGCTATGGACGTCCAACCACCGTTCAACACAATCGAACTGCAGTAAGAAAAACATCGAGCGTGCAGGCACAAAGAATGGCAGTACGAGCATTTTGGCGAAACTTCTCTCCAGAAAACGTCGGCTCCTCACTTCTTGCCTCTATGCAACATTCTGAGCGCACGACATGCCTTTCCCCACTCTGACTTGGGACACTCCGCCCAGACTCATTCACCCCGCAAGCACTGACTTAAAAGGACAGAAGTATCACTCACGTGTGAAGCATCTGCCGGCTGTGCATGGCCGCCAGCCCCGCTGCCCCTTGGTAACAGTACCTCGCTATTCGCAGCAGCTCCGGGGGGGTGTGCTGCACGGTAGCCCCGTGCTTCGCCCACGAGGGGGGCGCTTCTGCCAGCTCCAAGACAATGCCCAGCTCTCCATCCTCGAAGATGAAGTAGCCGAGGGCCTGGAGCACGTTGGCGCAGCCGCGGCAGGCGACCAGGCTGCTCAGCTGCGGAGGAGGAGAGGAAAGTACTTCAGGATATTTCATAGCATTTCCAATAATATCGAGGAGTCTTCCTGATGTTGCTACTTTGTAAGGGGCCTGATTAGCGATTCTGATAAGATCCTAGGATGTGGATTCTGCAGACCAAGTCACAAGCCCCAACACGATCTGGCGATGGCTCCGGCAGGTTTCCAGAAGCAATTTTTTGGAATCAATGTCATAGGCTTAGGATGCATTGCAACCCCGCTCGGTATTCTGGCTTACCTCGCGCAGCTGCTCCTCCGTAGTGTCCGTCTCGGGGTTCGGCCTGGCGCGCTTGACCGCGGCCGGGAAGTAGTTGCCGTCAGCGTCGAAGCACGCCGCGTGGTAAACGTCACCCTGACCACCCTGCAAATACGCGCAGAAAGGCAAGTTCAGAACTTTCGGCTTACTCGCACGAACCGCTATGGGTTGGTTCGAATAGACGGAGGACTTGAGGCACTGCTGAAATGATCCTGAGAGGGGAGAAAGAAGTCCGTAACATCTATCCACTCCAGAGCTCACTCTCGCACTGCAGTGTCATGTACAGGGCATCTATGAAGAAAGTTCAAGTGCTTGTTCACATTTTCGACACAGAAATCTTTTGATCTTTTGAAATCTAAAATAAAAGGTGCATAGCGAAGCGGCTGCTCACCCGCCCCAGCAAACACAGGGGAATGACCTCCTGGAACAAGGGCACCGCCTCCGCGTCCTCAGCATCGGCCAGAGAGGCCTCCTCGCCGGGGCCGACGATCGTAGCGGGTGCAGAACTGGTGGTGCTCAATGTGCGAGGCTCGCCCTGTAGAGATGCAAGACAAGGGTCAGAATACAATCTACAAGGTATAATTTCCACGAGGTATAATCTTACAAGGCATGAAAGTGCCGATGTTAATCTAATTCACAGCCGCCGTAACAAGAAAATGCAGAATACTTGCTGCTCAGGTGTGGTCAGGCGTTACATCCTAGCCCAGTAAGGAACAAGACAACGAGCCTTTGCATGTACTGAACAAAACAACAAGCTTGTGGAAGCAGGAAACCCGAAGCAGGCACGGTAAGTAACCCTACCTGCGTCCACTCCCTCAGCAGCGCCGTCCGCCACATGTCCTCCTCCCCGTCCAGGATGACAATGCGCCGCTCTCTGCTCTCACTGACCGCTGTCATGAGAGAGCTGACGGCTGCATCCCGCTCTGCCAAAACTGCTTCCCACTCAATGGGGGGGAGCACACTATCCTCAGTCCAGGACAGCTCATCTACTGGAGAATCCTGAGGAGCTAGAGTGGGCGGGAGCGAAAAGCGGCGGGGGGCGACGGGGAGCGGGAGCTGACTATGAGAGAGGGCGCGGCTAATGCTGAAAGCGGGGTCAGAGAAAATGTCACCGAACCCTGCTGGGATCTGATCGACTGCGAAGGCATCCCCACTAAAGAGTCGCTCGTCTGGGAGGGACACCTCGAGGGGCGCCTCCTCTGCCCTGCCGCTGTCCCTCTGGCCGTCGCCATGGGTATGCTCGGGGATGAGTGGGGCCAGAGAGACAGCGGAGGCGGAGTTAGCTGCCTCTGCGAGGGCTGGCGAGGATGCCGCCTGCGAAAGAATGGGGTGAGGAAGTTTGAGAATGTAGAACACTTGTGCCATAAATACACCAAGCGACTTTGTTCAAGTTGGTAACACACCTGCAACTCTGAGTCCATCGTCAAAGATTTCAACAGCTGAAATGTAGCCAACAAATTGAAAGATAACCTAAGTACTTAAACAGGTTACTTGATCTTGTTCAGGCAGACTTTAGGACGTATGATTCGCTGCGCCGCAAAGGAAAAAGTGCTTCCCTTTCCGGGCAAAAACACAACATTGTTGAACTAAAAAAATTCAGTTTGCAAAGCTGTTGTTGAACCGAAAGCTGCTACAAAAACCACCAACATAGAAAGAACATTCAGGGCACGAAGTGGTTGCAAAATGGCAGCAGTCCAAGCTGATAATGTTGTGAATACCATGTGCACTTTCGGTTGCAAAGTTGAACGAAAGCTGTGTAATGTTCGAGAGAATCATTGGCAGAAGTTGTCAGAACAAACACTTTAGCAGTCATTCCTGCCAGTGGAAAATCAGAACACTGCGGCATGAATAAGAGGTTTGCAATCACATTTACAACTCACCCGCTGGTCGGCATCCGCCTCAAACACGCTGCCGCTCTCCTCCGGGCTCTCCTCCTCGGCCCGCCCCATCTCCTCCTCCCTCTCTCTCTCCTCCAAAAGGTCCTCCACCTCCTCCTCCCCCCCAACAAAGACCATCCCCTCCTCGCCATCCTCCTCCTCCACCCCCCTCTCCTCTCCCTCCTCTCCCTCCCCCAAAAACTCCACCACTCCCTCCCCACCCACAGCCACAAGCCCCTCCTCCTCTCCGAGGAGCCCCTCCAGCGCACCCACCAGCGCACCCCGCCCGACCTCATACAGCAGCTCATCAAATGTGAGCTTCTCCAAGCTGCTGCAGAAGGGGTCCAGCGCTCCAGAGACCGCGCCGTGCGCAATATCATATGTCCTCAGGCACAAGGCCTCCAGAAGCCCAAGGACGCCCGCCATGGCTGCTAGCCACGCGCTGGCGAACGCTGATCGCTGAGAGCAAGGTCGCGATAATCGCTGATCGCTGGAATGCTGAATCGCAAGGGCGCAGAAAGCGCTAAGAGCTGGTATCCTCTGCAATTGCTTGCAAGAGAATGAAAGATTCTGGTCAGAAGCCAGCGCTATAAACATTCCAGCAACGGTGGCCAAGCCGACTCAGCGTTGCAATGCAGCTGAGCCGTGCACTCTTCAAACCCTGGCCAACGGGCGCGCGGCGACCGGGCTCCAAGCGGGCCATCAGGTTAGGCCAGTGGTTACGACGCTTTGATACCCCAAAAAGTTATTAACCAGCTTCTCAAACCTGCACAAAATGCCGGTCCCGCGTCGCCATATGTCAACGACGATTCGCGGCCGGGCTGCGCCGGGAAATGCCGCAGCGCGCGCTCCGCGCACTGCATCCTGAGTCCTGACAAGCAGGCTCAGTCTTGAGCACTAGTCACTTCGCGTCACTCGGCCAACTTCGAGCAGCGCATGCAATGGCGACGCTTGCGGCAGCTCTGAAGCAGGAAGGCTGGCACCTCCGCGAGGAGAGCCTCGCACACATTGTCAACGACATGTCTGTGGGAGGAACACCCCAGCTGGGAGCGGTTCAGTTGGCGCTGAAAGACGCGGACCTGAGAGAGGTGGGAGCGGCTAGTCTTCCCGATGACGTGAATCGAGCAACAAACAAGCAGCTGGACGGGATCCGAGTGCTGCAGGTGAGAATGCTGAATGCAATGGCAGCTATTGGTCCATTTATGTGGCTCTTTTGCTGATGATTGCAACCGAGGGAATCTAGAAGACTGCAACTTCTGAGCAAGCATCTAAGCGCCTGCAGAGGATAGAAAGGCTGGCAGCTGGTGGTGCAAAGGATTTCTCTCTGCGCGCGCCCAGCATGATTGTTTTAGGAGACATGCGGCAATTGTCCGACTCCGATTGATGGTGGTGCATCTGCTTCCCCCTACTAAGATGTGGCGCCTTGAATGAGCGCCCAACATTTGGAACGCCCAGCATTTGGCAAGCCGCTTCAAACAATTGGTACTCAAATCTGTCCAATAATTTCTCATGCAACAATCCATGTATAAGTTACTATGTTACGCATCTTCAGAAAGTCTTAAAACAGCTTTGCAAAGCAATAGGCTATAACAAGTTGCCTGCATTCTTAAGGTCCTGCTGTACATTCCTGTCTGTGATTCGTTTTCCGTATGTTTGCAGGATGTTATACTATTCACTAATCAAGAGAGAGAAAAGAGACGGCTGGATGTGAGGCTGTCCTCGATAGGGTCGCTCGACACAAGCAGCTGCCAAGCTTTGGCACAATCTGACTTTGTGAATGCTGATCTCGAAAGCCATACTGTTGCACACACGAGCCACCTTCAAGCACTGAGATCAATAAGCTGATCCCAAAGCACTGCCTCAGACTGCTGTTCTTGACTTTTGTGAGACTCTTTAACAGAAAGCATGCCCCCTCCCTCCAGGTTGTGTCAATCCAGAATGTTTCTCAGCCGAGCAAGGTTTCAGGGGGCGCAGGGACCGCTCCCCGGCTCCTCCGAGTGAGGCTGACTGATGGCCACGTGACGGCAACGGCAATCGAGTACCAGCCAATCACGTCGCTTTCTCCTGATCTCCCCCCAGGCACAAAGGCAAGCAGTCATACTTTTCTGCCTGGTCGTCAGTCTAGCAGAGATCTGCTAGAAGCAGATTTCGTCAGATTGTAGCTCTTGACAACCAATCTGTTTCCGACGATGCAGTTTCCACCGCAGGAACTTTGCTAGACTCGTTTCTGCAATGTTTGCCCGATTATATGCTTGACAAAACACTCCCGTAATATATGAATTAGCTGCTTCCTGGCCATCCCAATAATTCCACTTTACTTGGTCGAAATCAGAGAGCTCAGGAGGAATCCGGTAAGAATGTCGCAGGGGGGAACGACAAGAAAGCGGAAGGCGATTCCTACAGGAGGGGGTATGGTGCACCTCGGTTGACGCCTGCCAATTTCTGGCCCTCAATTTGATGATCCTTTTATTGGTTACTGGCTGTTTCTCTCAGTATGAACTTTATGCAGGCTTCCTTCCGAACAAGTTTCGATCAGCATATTCGTTGATCCCTCTTTCAGCCGCTGAAGGCAACTGGTCTCCAGTGATAGGCTCCTGAGCTCGATCCAAAACCCACTCGTTGCCCTTCACAAGCCTTCTGACCGGTTTATTCTGGACTAACAGGTCCGCTGCAGAGTCTTATGACGTATCCGTCGAGTGTTTCGTTGGCAATCTGAAATACTCACTACTCCATTCTCGAAGATGGGATTCAGTGGTTTGACGCCACGTTTTCTGCGATTCTCAGGTGGCGCTCATCGACGCCCCCATCATCTCCGGCGTAATCCTCCTGGCCGTCAAGAACGTCCGAGTCCTTGGGGGGCGTGTTCCCGCTTTAGCAGATTCGTGGGACCTGGACCGCAAGATGAAGATTATTCTCAAAGCGGGGGCCGGGAAGTCGGTCGATGGGCCCCGCCCCCCGCCCTTCACGGGTGTCCACATTAAGGGAGGGAAGGCGGTTGTCGAGCCACCAGCCGTAACCCAAAGTCCGGCACAGGTGGCGTCAGATACGAAAGTGAACGAGGTTCGGTCGGCACACGGCTCGGCAGGGCGTGCCGTCAGCGGGCGACAGGGCGGGGTTTCGCAGCAGAGGGGCGAGGCTGGGGGCGCATACGGCAGTGTCCTTGGGGGGCGTGGCGGCAAGGGGCAGAGGGGCGAGTCAATCAGAGAAGGAGGGCCCGCTGGGTGGAGCACTGACCGCAAAAACAAGGATATAAAGGTTGGCGTATCGGACTCCCAACGCTTTGATGCGACGGGAGAACGAAGCGCGCAGCGGGGCTCAGCAGGGGAAGACTGGCGAGGGGCCGGCGCAGGGAGAGGCGCCAGTGGGGATTGGCGGAACGAATCGGGAGCGCCGTCTCAGGATTCCAGGCGCGTTCAGGCAGAAGCGGAGAGCGGCACAAGGATTCTGGACGGCGGCGGGGTAGTACGGCCGCGAGAGAGCGTCCGTATGCGGCCGGGCGCTGAGCCGTACCGGCCCCGGCCGCGGTCTGAAGCTACGGCAACAAGTGGCACACACTCCACGGCGACAGAATCTTCGGCGTCAAGTAGCGAGCCGAAAGGACCTTTGAAGCCCGGAGATAGGTCTCTGGGGCAGGTGGGTCAGGACACTGAGGGGAGGGGTGATGGCGTTAGAAGGGGTGGTGCCACTTCGAGCTCGGTGGAGCCTCCCAGGACGGAGGGCAACGAAACACAAAGGGGAAACGGACTCTCCAAATCTGCAGACGCAAACGTCCGAGATGAGGATCCGGGCCTTGCGAGACCTCAAGCCGTCCAGGGGACTGCCGACTTCGGGCGAAGCACGCCCCCTGGTACTGCTTCCGCTCGTGGCATGCCGTTCGAGAAAGCTGGTACAGCAACTCAGAACAACGGAAAGCCGGAGCCGGGTGCAAGTGCGTCGAGCGGAAGAGAAAAGGCGCCCGACGGGGGGGTGGTTTTGCCGCAGGCGGCTGCCCCCGTCCAGAACAAGTCGGCGGCGATGAAGCTACTCGAGAGGCGGGATGACGAAGGATCCGACGGCTTCAGGGGGGGCCGCGGCAGGGGGCGAGGAAGGGGGGGGAGGCGGAGGAGATATGATGACGACGACGGTGACGTGGGCATGACGTTGGAGGAATGGGAGGCGAAGAAAGCAGGGGGAGTGGGGGGGAGTAAAGTGGTCGAGACGGATGAGGAGCTGGCGCGGAGGATGCAGGAGCAGTTTGACCTGGAAGAAAGAGAAGCGGCGCTTGGTAAGTCGAAACGGATTTATCTGTTAGAAGCTCATCGGCACCGGAACTGCCTTACGAAACCGGCAGGTCGTTGTACCCATTCCCCAAAATCGCGATTGAGCTTGGACGACTGAGTCGGTCTCATTCATGTCAACACCTTCCTGTGTGATCGAAAGCAGGACTGCAGAAGCAAGCAATTAATCATCCAGATTAGGGAAGTTGCACCAGGCCCTTGTGTGTTCTGTCCTGCTTGTTTCAACTCGACCATCCGCTTGTTTGTCGTCGAATGTACCGAAGACCCAACAAGGTCAGACGGCCGACTAGTCGCGGATCTTGGATGCTTTCTGTGAAGGACGGTTGCATCCCTCATGCCTGCCGCCTTTCTGCAGCGAATGCGCGTCCTTTGAGCGCGGCGGAGCAACTTCGGCAAAACATGTTCTCGTTCGGCAAGGTGGAGGAGCCAGAGGCTTTTGGTGGGAGGGGTAGAGGCCGGGGCAGGGGAAGAGGCGGGGGTGGAAGGAGAGGGGGTTCTAGGTACTAGCGAGAGCGGGTGCTCGATGAGTCGGAGCCAAAGCAGAGACGTTGGCCAAGGGGTTTGCAGGTGGGGGCGCGCGAGTGCTCGTTGCAGCCGGTAGGACAAAATTGATTGTCCTGCCTAATCGCTTCTCCAAAGTGAAAGTGGTTCCGACCACTCTTCCGCATGTCCCTATCAGGGTGGAGTTGCTTCGAATGGTTTGCCGGTCAGAATTTTTTGTCGCAGGTTTGTTCAATCCGTGACAGAATTGAGGTGCTCGGGCGTCCTTGGCTGTGCATGTACGCGCCACATGCAATGACAAGACGATCATGATGCAGTACGTGGCTGATTGCATCAATACAGAGCTATATGACGGCATGGAGTTCACGTATGGAGGTTTCACTTCGCACCATGCATATGTGAGACATGCATCCGCGGATCCAGGTCGAGACGGTGTGTCTGATATGTTAAGCACATGCAATGCATACACAGACTCGAATTGCATGGTCAAAAGGCGACCGTCGAACTGTCAGTTGCATCGCTCAGGCTCAAGAGGCGCATGTGCACTGCTGCATGCCAGGTGCAAAAGTGTCGGGGCTGCTCAAGGATTAATTGTTTCCATCGGATTGCATCTTCTAAGAACCATGATTCTGATGATCAGATGGTTGCATCCAGATACAAAATTTTATGGATCGAGTCAAAGACCCTTTTGCGTGCCTAGTCGCAAATCAAACGGATCGAAAAGTGACCGTTCAGTATCGCATAACGACACAATGTTGCAAAAAGGAGTCTTCGAGTCTGGTCAAAAAAAGTCAGTTTAGCTAGTCGAATCCAATTGGTCAACTCGTTTTCTCGACGAAGTCCTCAACACCGTCAAAACTTCTAGTCAAACGAATCAAATGGTCCTGAAAGACGACCACATCCTCCTCAACATCTTCTCGTCCTTGTTCCAAGCCGCGTTCGGCGCCATGACAAAGACAGCGTACAACTTGTTCCGAGCTACCGTCACGGTGATCAACGTGTGGCCGGAGCCGGGGTTGTCGATCTCGTAGTCGTAGTACAGCTGTCCGGCATCGTCTTTCCGCTCCCGCTGGTCGAAGTTGTCCGCAGAGCCCAACGCGTCCTGGATCTTCACATCCGACAGGGCCAGGTCGTTGATGATGTTCTCCTGCAAGAGGCGCCGTTAGCCCTTTCAATTTCAGCGTTAGAGACACAGCCCAGGGCGTTGAAGAAGTTTTCAGAAAGGGTCGCCAATACAGACGAAACTGACCGGCAGAAACGTGGGGCTGAGTAGACTGGACCTGCAATGGAGGTGATTAAGGTGTCGGATGTCGAACAGAAATTGTTGCGAACATCCAATGCTGGAGCACTTGGTATTCAGATCGGCCTCAGCAATCATACTTTTACGTCGACGGCTCTGATAAGTTACCTCGCATTGCACAAAAAGAGAATGGTCATTGCGAAGGTACGAAGAATGAAATTCTTAGACTTCTTCAACGAAAATTCGTCTAGTCCTCTTCCAAAACAGGGGAGTCCAATTTGCGCAGGATCAGGCGTTGAGTCTGTCAGCAATACATGGTGCCTTGACGAACGCGTAAACTGCAGCAGACTGTGTGCAGACCCTCATTGCGAGACAGAAGGTCAATGTCGTGAAGCCGAGAGTAATTCCTCCTTAGAACGAGCCGAAGAGAAAGCTCGACCGAAAAGAGAAACAACCGGAATGAAAAGGGACTGAGGAATCTTCTGTGGCGGGTGTTGGCCCGCCTGTAGCTAGGATACGGCTCGGCGCACGAAGCACCGGGACGATTTCGGTTCCCAATTACACGAAGCCGACAGTGCGGAACGTTTGCCGAATCCACCTTCCGACCCTCTTCTGATTTAGTATTCCAGCTCCATCGCCTTTTAAGTTCGACACTTCCTGGGGCAACGAGCCATGCAAAAGCATGAGCGGCTTCGTACATGTTTGTCAACTGAAGGGACAACACTGAAGGGGTGACGACGAAATCAAGTCATTAGCCTTTGGCAAACGTACACCAAGTGCTGTCACACAGTCAAAGCCTTGAACAGCATCCTCTTGCGTTCGTGGATTGGCCAACTTCCGCCAAACGGAACGATATGCTAACGTTCTAAGTACATGCTTCCTTGATCGATAAAAAGCTTGGGGTCCAAGAACCCACCTTTGGCCCCAGCTTCCGGAACCCGCCCAGGTATGTGGTATAAATCTTCTCCTTCTTGTTTGCTGGGTTGTACCATTCACTGTCAGTCCCGTTGGTCCCCTTCTCGACCTTGCTGATCACGCGCTCCTTCCAGCCTGCTGGAACGTCATACACGTACTCTGCCTCGGTGTTGGTGCCGGCGTTGCCTCCGTAGCCTCCGTACGATGATGCGCTTGCTGCAGAAAAGAATATCCAAGTAAGAGGAAAGTGGTGGCATGTAGTATGATGTTGAGGGCTTTTCCTCAGCCTCTCTGACGACCCCATTCGACCTCGTTAAGCGGTTGACACTCTTGCGGCTTTATTCATGTTGTGCTTTTCAAGGGCCCTGAAGGGTTCTAAAGGGCACCAAAGGCCCTCCCAGCACAAGAACTCGTCAGCTTTTTGTAAGTTGGCTACCTGGTGTAGATTAGACCTATCTGCAGCCCTACGCACGACCAGTCTACAAAAAGGTTTCCAGGCCCTTCGTAATCGCCAATTCAGATTGCTGGCTGTGTTGCAATCTCAAAAACTACAGATCCAACTGAGAAGGATTGCAGTCCAGACAGGCCAGCTTTCATTCAGAGGGCACTATCTGCGCTGGGACAGCACCTGAGCTCGTGTCTAAGTGCCAGTTTCTTTGTCATGGCAATACCTGGGTGTAGATTTTAAATGTCCTTGTCCTCCACACATCACCCTTGTTCGATTTGGTGTGGTCCCAGCTGATGTTTCTTTCGTACTTAATTACGGTCAAGAAACAGTTTCCTGTTCAAGAACTCCTTGTACTCATGCAGACCTCATTCAAGCGCAGGCTAGAGAGCGCTTGCGCCCTATGCTTGACACTATTTTGGATGAAGAAGATTGGATGGTTGAAGCAAAGGAGAGGCCACTGCTCTATTCAAAGTCAAAGGCATTGATGATACACGTGCCACCTGGTGTCTCTGCTGGTGGCACCAAGCTGAAGCGACGTATCTGGTCCTGACATGAAAATGTCAAGTATACTTGCCAAGAGACCATTCAGAAAAATGAATACAATGCTGCACAAGTCTGACTTCATTTATCAATCAGAAATGGTAGCTTTACGCCTGCAATTGGCAAGCGCTGCCCTTGCTGACTCAACGAGGCCTGGTCTCACCAGCTTTGCCATAGAATGTGTTGAACTCCTCTGCCGCACCAACGGGGCCCGCCAATTGCGAGAGTCCAAGAACAGCCGCTGCAGCCCCAAGCGCTTCTCTCCTTGTCAAACTGTGCATTTCGCTGGGGTTCAACTGAGAACCTCTAGCCTGGCACCGAACACTTCTGCTGGACCTGCCTGCATTGTACTGAAATCTTGGCACAGGCACAAGGTGTTTGGCAGAGCTGACTGAGTTCAGGGAAGCAAGACTAGAAGCAGCAAGGCAGGAAGAGCAGGGCACGGCTAATGTGATGGCCGCCATGGCAGAAACTAGCTGGGTTCAAGTCTCAATGCGCCCAACAATCTGTGCCCGCTTGTGAGCGATGTGACATACGCAGCTGCAGTGCTCAGTTCTGCAGCAGGACCTCTTCTAGATTAGAAGTGTGCTCGAAGGACAGGTGCATTGGCCCCCTCGCAGTCTCGTCAACCGTCCGATGCGGATCAAGGCCCCTATCTACACCGTTCACAGACGATCTCCACCCAAGCAGACCCCCAGTCTTACGATGTTGGCTAGGTATGGCTAGGTATGCTAGTGCAGCTACTGGCAGTGGTAATTGGGCGCATGCACTGCTGCTTCCTCTCCTATACAGAAAGGGAGTGGCGGCCACTGGCAGCTTCAGAGCCATTGGCGTTAGGGCCTGTGAATGGCTTGCTCTTTGCACCTGCAGACACTTGCAAGAAAGGTGCAACACCCACTCTTCCAGCATTCTCAGCGGCCGGTGTGCAGAAGCACTTATCTTGGGGGCATCCCGCACGTTATTGAAAACCTGCACAGGTCTATCCTGCACCCACATGAAGCTTTGAAGAAGTCAGCCCAAAAGGCGGTGTTCGGACACTTCTTTGCATACAAACCCGAAACGCACCATAAGAAGGGCAGTCTATCTCAAACGGGAGTGTCCAAAAGAAGTCTTCTCGGTTCTGGTGTTCGTGCAATGGCTTCCTCGTCAAGTGGAGCTGCGACAGCTGTTCAGGCAGTGTTCATCTTTATGCATGGGCTTGGAGACAGCGGGGATTCATGGGAGGGGATAACGTGGGACTTCAAAGACCCAGAGTTCAGGAATCTCAAGTGGGAGTTTCCAAATGCGCCAATTGCCCCTGTCAGCTGCAACGGTGAGTGATCACCAGTGAAAACCTATCACAAACTTTTCCCCACCATGAGCACACCAAGTATAGAAACGGCTCCAGCTTTGACTACTCCCCAAATGCAATGCCGTACAGAGCAATTTAAGAATGCATCAGCCCAAGCGCTGTCATACTTTCAGGTCATCTTTCACGCGCCGGCTGACTCCATGCGCCTACGCTATTCAGGTGGCTATCGGATGCCCTCCTGGTTTGATCTGCTCGAGATCCCGATTACTCCGGTGAGCAGAAAATCAAGACTTCAGGTTTTGTGTTTTAAGCCTCGGGCTCCAGCATCTTGTCCACTTTAGATGTATCAAAGCTCTCTTCCATCCGTATCACGTTGTTCGAACAAACGCACTCTTACTGGTTTTCCTTTTGAAAGAAAGTAAAGGTCGGTGGTGATGAGGTCTGCATCCTTGTTTAGCTCCCAACGGCAGAGCCAGAAAACTGGTTCCAAAATAACGCGAGTGCTGGGGTTGATCAATGGTAGTGATGTAAGCTCCAGGTCTGGGGCTCAAGTCTACTTCGAAGGAAAGTCCCTTGGGATTGCAGGCGTCCCCTCATACCAGTGACAAGGAATTGCTAGCGGCAATCCACCGAGTACATGCAAAGGTGGACAAGTACAAGGCCTCTGGAGTCCCCGCCTCTTCGATCTTCCTGGGAGGGTTCAGCCAAGGAGGTGAGGGCCCGCTTATGATGCCTTGGCTGACGTAACCCTTAAGCTCCTTGCCTGAAAAGCCCTGTGAGAAAAGGAGCAGATACGAAGTCTTCTTGTGTTTCGGCTCCTGTCTAACGCAGGAAGGTCTTCTTCCACACGATCGTCACTAAGAGACACTCTACCATCGCAAACACTTCTTGCGATCTGTTGTCGATCACCGCATGCCGCCATCCGCTTGTTGTGACAGGGACAACTTGAAAAGGACCTGACCAAACAACACATTGTAAATTCCAAATCCTCAAGTCTTGAGCCCTTGATTTGGAAATGCGACCCGGAGTTTGCCTCCCGCAGGTGCGCTGGCACTGGCCAGCTCCCTCCTGTACCCCGAAACCTTAGGGGGAGCTGTGGTGTTCAGCGGCTGGATCCCTTCTCAAGAATTGCAAATAACGGAAGGCGGGAAGAAGACGCCCATTTTGTGGTGTCATGGAGATGCAGACAACGTTGTGGAGTATGCCAACGCGCGGGTTGGGTGCCCGCGGTTACAGGCTGCAGGGGTTTCCTGCGAACTGAAGGTGAAGTCGCCTGATTTAGTGCGTGCTGAATGCCGGAGTGCGGTTTTCCACGCCTCACTGTCGAGCCAGTCTCATCGAGTCTCCTTGTCATCGCGACCCCGACCTGAGTGCCTCGCTAAGTTCCTCCCTGTAAGACACATTCATGTTCTGGTCCAGCCCTGTTCAGATTTTCTGTTCTTGTAGGGGCTTATGAATAATCTGATACTGGGCTCGATTTAATTGCTCGCTACTTGCACCTTCTCTGAAAGCTGATGTCACAAAACAGGCGGTGCTGGTTTTTATATCTGATGTCGATCAAGCGTTACTGCCCAAGAGTGTCATGTTTCGATATTGATGACCACAGTCACACAGGAAATCTGGTGATTTTGTTTGCCGTGCGTGTCGTTTAGCGCTTTGTTTGACACCTTCATAGCGTTCGATCGAGGACGATTGGTGTAACTTTGTTTCGGATCGTATCTGCAGACGTACCCCCGGATGGCGCACAGCTCATGCCCGCAGGAGATAGCTGACCTGAAGTCGTGGCTGAAGGCCCAATTGACCAGCCAAGTAACAACAGTGTAGCACCCAGCTTTACTTTGAGTTGCTTTACGGCGCATCGTTCACGATGCAAGCACAGGGCCTAAGGTAGCATCAAACGGTCAGATCGATGGTCTACATTCTTAAACACGATCTGATCGGCTGAAACGGTGCGAGATTGTCCGCGGGCTATTACGAAGTTCAAACGATGTGAGTCCCTTATGTTAGTAGCGGTCCAGTGTTGTGAAGAGCCTTCAGAGGCATTCAGTGCTAGAGACCGATATGGTTCTCAGATTAGCCTGGACGAAATGATCATGAAAGACATATCTGGCCGCCAAAGAGTTGGCATCCCGAGCTTGTGATTGCTTGGATACTTACATTGAACGAGCTCTCACAAGCAATTGCACTTCGGTATCGAATGAGCTCCGCATGAACCGGCAGCGCAAGGTGCAAGAGCTTCCTTCATGCACTTCTTTTTGGTGCATGTGCGCGCATATGGAGCTAGGGGCTACGGCTTCTTCACTTACTCTATACTGGATTGCTTCACTGAAGATCACGGATGTTATAGCTCGCGCCTCGCCCCTTTTCATGGGTCTTTGAGGTCGGAGCGCCCTTCAGTTGTCCGAACTTAGATCTGTCAAACGGACTGACCGTCGATATTGTAGCTATGGCGCTAGTTGCAACGGTAACTAAGGGCGGATTGCAGCGCCGCCGCTCGCAGAGGCCGGGAAAGTGGACATGGATGCGTCCATTTCGCGCATGACAGATCAAATTGAATAAGCAACGAGCGGGCTCCTGGTTGCACAATCGGCAAATCGGAGTTGAAAGTCGTCGTCAAAGAACTTAATGCGCACGAAGAATAGATGATTTATGACAATCAAGTCACTTAGCGCCCAGATACGCATCTCGCCACTGAGGTCGTACGAAGTCAAGACTTTGAATGGATCCGGAGTGTTGTGTTGAGTATCAGAGTACACGATGCGCTTCAGCGCTTTGAATCAATCTGAGCTAACGCAGTCGAAAACAATGTGACTCCTCCAGGTGCGCTACAGCGTAATTATCTCTCTTCTGATGTCATTTAGAGCGACGGTGGTGCGAGTCGACGAGTCTTCTGTTCAAAAGCTTCTCACAAAGTTCTGTTCCGACCATGACGCAGGGAGCAGCCGAGGAGCAGCCGCGGCGCCTGCGGCGCGCCCCCTCCTCGGCGGCCGCTTTCCTTAGTAGCGCGGCCGCCCTACCGGCGCGGCGGCTGGCACCCGCGCGCGGTACGTAACCTGAGTCCTAACCAGCCACAGTTGCCCGCTCAAGCTTCCAGTTAGTAATAACCCTAAGGTTTAATACCCAGCCCGGCCGCGGGCGCGCCCGGCCCTAAGCTAGCAGCCGCGCTGAGCTGACTCGGCTAGCTCATGCATTGCACAGCCTGAGCATTGCTTTCGTGCAATCTGCAGCCAAATCCCTCATTCTCTTGCAGCGTTGCAGGGGATACCAGCTCTCAGCGCCTTTTGCGCCCATTGCGTTTGTGCTATCTAGCGATTTTTGCTCCCCTGCGTTGCGCTATCTGTGTATGCCAGCGCGCGGCCAGCCGGTGGCTAGCAGCCATGGCGGGCGTCTTTCGATTCTTGGAGGCCGCGTGCCTCACCGCGTTTGATGTGGCGCAGGGCGCCGTTTCTGGAGGGCTGGACCCCCTCTGCAGCAGCTGGAGGAAGCTCACATTTGATGAGCTGCTGTTTGAGATGGGGCGGGGGGTGCTGATGGGGGCGCTGGAGGGTCTCCTCGGGGAGGAGGAGGGGGCTGTGGTTGTCGGTGGGGAGGAGGGAGTGGTGGTGTCTCTGGAGGGGGGAGAGGAGAGGGATGAGGAGGAGGGGGTGGTATTTGTTGGGGGAGAGGAGGGGGCAGTGTTTGTTGGGGGGGAGGAGGGAGAGGTGTTTGTTGGGGGGGAGGAGGGAGAGGTGTTTGTTCAGCGGGAGGAGGGGGTAGAGGATTCCTTGGGAGAGGGAGAGGAGAGGGAGGAGGAGCTGGGACGGGCCCAGGAGGAGGGCCCGGAGGAGAGCGGCAGAGCACTTTTTGAGGAGGATGCCGACCAGCAGGTGAGTGGTGAATGTTGCAGACTTCAGAACCTGTTTCAGGATGATGTTCTGTTCAGAATGTGGGGGTTATGGCCTGTTCCTTCTCAACAGGTTGCAGATCAGGGTGGGGTGAGCTTTGTTCAACATTTTTGTGATTTCAAGAGACAAATATCTTATTGTGATTGTTTATTGTTGCATGATTTGTTGCATGATTGGTCCAGCAACTTCTGACTTTCTTCAGGTCTCAGTCTTAGCTCCTGAGTTCTAATGCCTCTTGAATTGATTGAGGATTGTCAACAATGACGTGAACAGTGAAGCTTCTAGATTTACCAGATCGTACAAATGATTCAGCGCTCTTCTGAAGCACCCGCAGATGAACCTGAACAAAACATTTCAACGATCTGAAGAAAGTCACATAGGTACTGAATCTGAACGAAACCTCCTTGACAAATCGACAGCCTTGCAGAATTCAGACAATGAACTTGCTCTGTCCATCCTTCGTGCAGGCGGCACCCTCGGCTCTCGCAGGGGTCGCTGACTCCCCATCCGCTGCCCCCCTGGTTTCCTTCGGCCCCGAGCTCACACACGATGAGAGCCAGGGGGACAGCGACAGGGCAGGGGAGGCGCCCTTCGAGGTGTCCACAGCGGAGGACGCGGCGATCTTCAGCGGGGACGCGTTTGCGCCCGCTCAGATCCCGTCAGGGTTCGGAGGGATCTCCTCAGATCCTGATTTCGACTTTAGCCCCGCCTCCTCTGCTAGTCAGCTTAGGTCGCCGCGCTCCTCTCCCACAGTCGTTCCGCCCGTCCCCGTAGCTCAGGACCTCGTAGCGCAGGACTCAGTAGTGCATGTTTGGACAGAGGTCAGCACGGTGCCCCTTGCTGATGTGGAGTCCCGGTCAGCTGGGTTCAGAGCACACCGCAGCTCTATGCTGATGGCACTGGAGGAGAGCAGGAGCGTGGTGACTTTGGGGGGGCAGGAGATTGGGTCAGAGTGGTTCAGGGGGCCCGGCACGGCGCTGCTGCGCGACTGGATGCAGGTGAGAAATTGTCCGCTTTGATGACGTCATTGTTGTTCCAAGGCCATTCCTTTTCTTGTTTTTTGTAGGAAGTTTGGAGCACGTTATGTTTGTTCGAAATGAGGAAGAGCCCAACGATTGACCATTCTAGGCACTTGCATCCCGCAACAAATGCTTGAGAATGAGAGAAAACACTGTAGAGATGGTTGCCAACCAATGCTGTGTTTGGCTCTGCCTGACCTCTCTCGTGCCTGTTCGCAGGGGGAGCCAAGCACATCGGCCGCCACTACCCCCGCGGCAATCTCTGCCGCCAGCGCCAGACAGGTTGCTTCCCCAGCAGCCGTCCAGGCCGCGGGGACGCTCAAGTACATCGGCAACATTACGCTGGTGCACTGCCTGGGGGAGGTGAGCAGCTAATCTCACATTTTTCAGACTACATTTCCATAACTGTATGAAACGGCCTTTAAATGAAGCAGAGTTCGTTCGATGGTGCTCGATTCAAGTCTCTGTGGATTGCGAACGCTCATGAGCCGTTTCTCATCACCTCGGCGAATGTGTAAAAAGCCCGCAAATCCCCGTTTTTGAACGTCTCTCGATTATACAGTACAGCCAAATGGATTCCCTGGTCATTTATGATTTCAACCGTGAGTTTGGTCTCTCAAGATTCCCGTTGCATGGAACACTTATCAAGGAACTCACATGCTGTTCGTCTGCCCGCGTTTGCAGGGGGGTCAAGGGGAGGTTTGGTCGGCCATGTGCTTCGACGACGACGGCGAGTGCTTCATGGCCGCCGCCAAGTTCGCCGGCCTCTCCCGGGGAGGGACACCACGAGGGAGCTGTTCGAGGAGGTGAGCCCTTCAGAAATCCGTACCTTTCCCCCAGAAGCGACGCCAGATATTTCATTTTTAAATCTTTTGGCAGATGGCATGTTCGCCTGTACAGATGAATGTCTTCATCTTCCTGACTTCGACCATTATCTAAATCCATCATGAGAAGCTATCTCTGTAATACTAGATAGTTGTAGTAAGTGCCAAGCTGATGTCGAGTTTGTTCGAACGCTGCGGCGATTGGCCGAGCATTTCGCCTGTTCTCGTTCTTGGAAGGCCTCCACCATCAAACGGCTGCAGCGCATCTAGTCCCCCCCCCCCGGCAAAGGAAGAAGAACAAACAGATGTGAAGAACATCTAACACATTTTCGCATCCTTCTCCGCAGGCCGACAACCTGATGGCCTGCCAAGGCTGCCCCAACGTTATCGAGGTCCTCGGGTACACTTTCCTCGACGGGAAGTTCGGCCTGGTCTTCCCGCTGGCGGAGGCGCCCCCCCTCTGGGCGGAGGCTGGAGGCCCCGTGCAGTACACCCCCCCCGAGCTGCTTCGAGTGACGACATACTCGTACCAGGTGGCGACCGGGGTAGCCGCGATGCACCGGGAGGGAGTGGTCCACAGGTGAGCTTTTTCGTAGAAGAAGCAGAATCGACAAGGCTTGAAGAATGAGAATTGACATGGCTCGACGTTGATGGTTTTCTGCATATGCTTGTCAGATCTGAAGGTGAACGGAATTAAATGTGGGAAGTTTGGAAACTGACAGCGTTTGTTTTGTCGGGAGAGGTAAAGTGGCCCCAATGACGCTGCTCGTTGCGCTTTCAATCCTGCTTTGAATGCGCACGGTCGAGCATGTCGGAGGTCTGACGGCTTGCTGCATTTGCTTCGACTTTCCAGAAAGATCCGAGAACTTTCTTGGTTTGCCTTCTTACAGCTCGTTTTCGGTTTGCAGGGACCTGAAGCATGAGAATATCCGGGTGGCGAAGGGGGTCGCTACCTTGATCGACCTGGGCATGGCGTGGCGCATTGACGAGCCGCAGACTGGGGCGGTAAGGTTTTATGCCTCTCTTTATCTTTGTTTTGTTGCAAGATACTTCTGAATTGACCGAAACTTCGGCAGAAATGTGGAACCTGAGTATTGGAAAACACCCTTCCGAAAAGAATCACCCTCTTGTGGTTGTGGTTGAATCTGCTGAGATTTTAGATATCTGGTTGCCCAGTCTTTGCTCAACTCTTTTTCTTGTTATTTTCGTTTCGAGCACGGCATGTTTTCCTTTTCCAGCAGTTGAAGCCCTTGCTGATTCATTTCAAAAGCAACGCTAACCACCTCGTCCGGATGCTCTTTCTATCCCCAACCATCTCTGACCCGCATCTAAAACCACTGCTTGCTAACCTGCAAACCACCACTAACCCTGTCTTAATCCATTTTTCAGTGCGGCACCCGGGGCTTCATCCCCGCGGAGGTGTAACGGCAGCGGCGGCACACCTTCGCGTCGGACGTTTACGCAACCGGGGTCGTCATTCACGGGCTCATCACCGGGGAGCGCCCCTGGGCTGACTTCTCCCACACCCGGGTGAGCGCACGTTCTTCCAAATTCGAGAATTGCCGGTGGTTTTCCTCGACTCCTCGGGACGACATGATCCTGAAGTAAACTTTTGGTAATCCGTGCATTGACGTAGACGGTAGTCGGCCAGGCCCCTGAAAATATTTGGGCTGTGTTGCAACGGACGGTTGTCTTTTGGTGCTCGATCGACGGAAGAGTTGGAAAGAGCACCTATCGTCCTTTTTTTTTGCTTCACCTAGTGCAAAACCTCTGTAATTGTCCGCACACATTTTGTTTCTTTGTGCGACTCACTTGGATCCGTAAAGTCAATTGATGGGTTTCTGACTTCAGGAAGCCATTCCTTTTGGTCGTGGAAGTCCTACACGGACCGTCTACGAATCCCCTACGTCAGACTCTTCGGAGCAAGTTTTCTGAACAAGGCTCTAATCCCTCTTCAGGACATGTATAACCACTACGCTTCGGGCGGCCGCCTGGACTGGCCCCCCGAGGTGTACCTTATCGGGGGGGACCTGGTGAACCTGGTGGAGGCCTGCTGGGACCCCACCCCGCGTGGCGGCCCTCCGCGGACGACCTCATGAGGTCGCTCTTGCGGATATCGCTCAGATTGACGGCGGAGTGCCGAACGTGGGTTGGGTAAGGGGACCCGGGAAGCGGGAGGGGCAGAGAAACGGGTATTTCACAAATGTCGGGCCAGGGTTGGGATTTCGGGGCCGAGGGGGTTGGGTGAGATGGGCGTAGAAATGGGTATGTGTGTGAGGGGGTGATTTGAGCTGTCGAAGGGGCGGTCAAAGAGGGGTGGGGGGGTAAGAGACCGTGAAAGTAACGGTTCTGGAGAAATAACGACTGGAATTGAAAGCGCGCGCGCAGGTTCAGGAGTGTGAAAAACGCGATTTGGCGGCTTTTGCCTTCGAATATAGATGTCGTTGAACAGGAAGGACTGAGCCGGGTGCAAGAGGGCTATTGGTGCCTTATTGAATCTATATCGCGCGTGTATATTGCTTGCTGTGGATTATGAACGGTATCAGAGGTATATAATACGGAAAAGACAGGATTAGGTTAGTTGAACTGCCTGCTTCATAGGACTGCTATTCTTTTATTCTTTGCAACAGTACGCAATTGTATAGCAGTAGACTAGGAACAGCAAGGTCGTGTTAACTTATTAAAGCAGGATTACTTGTCGACCTGAATATCTCCTTTGAAAACGGATACGAAGACTGTCAGATACGACCACAATCAGGGATTCGAAGTATAGAAACCGCATCCGGCGGCACTCTTTCGTGGGTGCACGCCATTCGAAGTCCTTTTCAGAATTGTTAACTGGTCCGACGTTACCACAAATCATTCATTTCAACTTCGCATTGCCATGCATGATGGTACCATGGGAACTGAAGGGGCTATAGACCCCGCGACCATGCGCAGATGTTGACGTGCGTTAGTTGCAATATGATATATCAACATATGCAGGCAATGGTGATGATGTTCTCTTTTCAAACGCCGTAGCCACATGGGCCATAGGCTTCCATGGCATACATGGGAATAAATGTTTTGAGTTCTGAACGCCTAGCTACCCTCCCAAATCTTGGTGTGCTACATTAGTACATACCTAGTTTGTCAACGTCTCCTAATGGCTAATGCGAGCTAGCGATCACATCAACCGATCGGCCGTTGTGTACTCGCAACAATTGCTCTAGACTTGTCCGTCTTGTAAAACTGTCGACTCAAGTACGTGGCAGCCAGAGCCGCGCTGCAATGGCCCAAGCGCCCATCACATGCATGGTATTGCACATGAATTGTGGGTTCGCGACGTGCAATCGACTTGATAATCTGCAACTCCACGATCGACCATATAGCACTTGATCGGATGCATATATTGCATGATAGCTCAGTATACTGTTGCGTTGCATGGGCCCTGGGGCAGTCTAGCAAGCTAGCTGCATGTAACATCTCCGGGCTCTAAAGGTGATTGCCTAGGTATGACAAACATGAGCACATGTTCGTGGCATCATTATCATGCATGTGCGCTTGCTTTCGACGCAGTCTGAAAAGTCGTCATATCATACAAGTAGACAAAGTGCCGAGGCTCGACCAGAAATTGTACGCACCAACATGTGAGCGAAGCGACCATTCGACAGCTCTGCTCACCGAACCGTTCAATTACAGGTTTTCCTGGTCGGACCGTCAAATGCAGATAGTCACTGATTCAGCCGTCTTTGCAGCAGACCTTAGGCACCCACTTCAAACTCGAAGTCGATTTAAAGAAGCGCCCATCATGCTACCGCCCTTGAAAGCCAAGCTGCCTCATTACTTTGGCGAGTGCTGGAGGGGTCGTTGTTGGCGTTCTTAACCGCCGCAGCTGCTTCTTGGTCTGCAGGAAAAAGAGCAAAATACGGCTTGAGTTGCACTTCGTTCGAGGCTGAACTTCCAAAGCACCCGAGGTTCATGGCTGGCCAAACAATCACTCCGATACAAGATTCTAATTCAGCTTCCTGTCTGCCGCAAGGGCCAAGAGGCACAACACTTACGTAGTATTTCCCCGTCTTTGCACACAGAGCAATCTGTCAGATCCCTGTTGCAAAGTTTCTTTACAACGATAATTCTTGCAGTACATTCAACTCAGGCTCACGTGTTACAAAGCACATCAGACTCTCATATCAAACTACGGATTCGTCGTTTCAACAAGTTCGTACTGCTCGCGGCTGCTGTTAAAATGAAAATGAACCAGAATCAAAATCAAAGAGGTATGATGCACAGAGGATCCATGTTTGTCGTTGGGATGTCATACCAGATCTATGCCCCCAGGACGATCTCAAGTTTCATCCCAAAAACCAGTTGAGAAAGTCGTATGGGGAAGTAGTCTTGATTTACCATACTTTCAAACTCTTGCAAGGGAATGCTGGGCATGTCTTGACCACTGAAACCCAACTCACTTTTGCTGAAGCGTTGTGCCGCTTGCCAGCCTTCATCCTCTTAAACCCCCCGTCACGCATGGACCAAAAGCGCTGCTTGTACGATCTGGCCATAGGAGGACAAATGGTCAAATGCAGGCCTAAATGGTCTCCAAATGATGGTGATTAAAGGCAAGAAAGGGCTGTATCTGGCCCCTAATGTCAAATGATCAGGGCAGTAACTGATCCAGATTTGCAGACTGTCGCAAGCATTATCAATCTGCTTTCAAGCGTCGGTGGCCGGCACTGAAATTGGCTAGAAGCGGCAAGATTTGCGTTAGTCGGCCTCACGAGTAGCTCTTGATCTTGTACTTCTTCGTTTTTGTTGCGAAGCTGCGGCTAACCTGGGGCAAACAAGACATGAAGTTGCCATTAGAAGTAACCAAGGCATGGAACAGACTGACGGAGAACAAGACTCTTCAGACTGGAAGGGGCAAGATTGGCCGGAAGGTTCTTAAGATAGAGTTAGTCTCTGGTGGTTTTACGAAAGTCCGAACACGTCTGAACTCCATTGGCGATGGTAGTAAATGATTCATAAAGAGCGATAGAAGGTATTGATAAAATGCAAGTGCCCAAAAGCGAGTATACGTGTCTCTTCCCATGATTGCACGTACCCAAATCTCGAAATGCTGTGCTGAATCCAGGTCTTGATGGCAAGCAAGGTTCCGGCTGTTATGTCTGGTCACATGAAGAAGAAACGACGAGCAGCAATGACGTGCCTACCTCAAATTGATAAGCGGGGCCAAGTCTGCTCTGTGACAGGTCACACCGACCAGAAACCTCGCACTGCACTCCACAGATTCCCTGCAAATTGCTCCAACCCTCCCTTCGCAAAGGCAATGCCGTGTGAAAAAGTCGCGATGCATGGTTGTGCAACGAACTCCCTAAACTTCGACCAGCCAAGCCCAAATGCAAGCAGTCACTTAGAGGCGTGTGACTTGTCAAGGCATGAGGTGGTAAGCTCCAGGTTTGACTGGTGCGATCTGCTGCGAGCCTGAAAACGGAATCTGCGTACACTGCGCTGAGGACTCCTGAGCCAAAGACGTCACAAGCACTTGGTTCCAAAACTTGCTCAGCCGCCTGTCGTACATCCCTCTCTGATCCATGGCCTACACATGGGCTTGCGCAAGAACGAGCAGGCGCCTCCTGCCCCTCACCGATACTTTTCATGGGTTCAAAGGAGAGGGGCCGTGTGATCATCTGCGCAGCCTCTACCGGCAGCACACGCGCGAAGAAGCTTTTCAAAGCCCCACTTGCACCTGGGCTGAGCAGGCGCATTGCCATGTTGGCAGCGGATGCGCAACAAACCACCTTCAGCGCTGTCGCGTGTGGGCCACCTGCTTTGCCTTAGAGTCAGACGCCATCGCCAAGCAAGCAGAACATTCTTCCCTCAAAAAGGCACGGTGTGAACAGGGCCAAGAGCGGCGCATCTGTGAGAACCGGCTCGCTGCAAGCCCCTGGTACCGGCGTGGTTTTGTGGTTCTTGGGGTACCGTCACTTTGAAGT